AGAGAGAAGAGGAAGAGCGAGAGAAAGGAGAAGGAGGAAGAGAGAAAGAGGAGAGAAAAGGAAGAAAGAAAGGAGGAAGAGAGGGGAGAGAGAGGAGGAAGAACGAGAGAGAAGGAAGAGAGAGGAAGAGGATGGAGGAAGAGCGAGAGGATGAAGAGAGGAGGATGAGAGAGAGGAGGAAGGGAGAAAGGAAACAGCGAATGAGAAGAGAAAGAGCGAGAGAAAGAGATGGAAGAGAGAGAGGATGAAGGGAGAAAGGAAGCAGAGCGAGTGAGAAGAGGAAGAGCGAGAGGAAGGAGAAAGAGATGGAAGAGAGAGAGGTTGAAGGGAGAAGGGAAGCAGAGCGAGAGAGAAGAGGAAGAGCGAGAGAAAGGAGAAAGAGATGGGAGAGAGAGAGGAGGAAGGGAGAAAGGAAGCAGAGCGAGAGTGAAGAGGAAGAGCTAGAGAAAGGAGAAAGAGAGGTAGGAGGAAGAGAGAAAGAGGAGCGAGAGAAAAGGAAGAAAGAAAGGAGGAAGAGGGGAGAGAAAGAAGGAAGAGAGAAAGGAGAAAGTTAGGGAGAGAGGAAGAAAGGAGGAAGAGCGAGAGAGGATGAAGAGAGAGAGGGGAAGCGAGATATGAGGAAGAGAAGAAGAGAAGGGATAAAGAGCGAGAGAGGAGGAACAGCAAGGGGAGAGAGAGAAGAGAGCACAGAGAGAGGGGAAGCGATAGAGAGGAAGAAGAGCAAGAGGGAAAGATCGAAAGAGGAGGAAGAGAGAAAGGGGGAAAAGACGTAGAGAAGAGAGGAGAAAGAAAACAGTGAATCGGAGTACGAGGGGGAGAAAGGGGAGAGGGACAGAGAGGGAGAGAGAGGCGGAAAGGGAGGGGAAGTAAGAGGCAGAGAAAGGAAGCTGGAGAGACGCAGAGGCAGAGAGAAAGGAAAGAAAGACAAGGAGAGAGGGAAGAATGAGAGAAGAACAAATGAGTTAGAGAAAGAACAGTGAAGAAAGAAAACACATTACATACATTTACAATTTCCAATAGAATTAATCCATTTATACATGGACGCTGTTTGAAACACACATGATTGAATAGCTACTACAACTGACAATCAACGTTTATATATTTAGCTCTGTGACCACTTGACATCAACTAATTTGGTTACATTGTCCATATCATAACCGTCGCTATTCAAACACTTCGTGTTTCAATGAGCTAGAATGAGACTCGATTCGTTCTGCGTCATGGCCTGTGTATAAGTTATCAAGGAAGAGAGGGTGACTCATAATTCGTTGTAATGCATGTCCTATAAGAAGTATTGAGGGTTTAAATAAAATGAAAGTCACAATAAACAATGACAATTAGGCAAATCCAAAGCTACGTCAGTTATCACTTAGTGACCGACAATGTCACTTGACTTAACTTTCCTCCCACATTAAGCTGACACGCCGTGATATAACTGGAATACTGTTAAAAGCGGCGTAAAACCCAACTCACTCACTCACTCACTCACTTGACTTAAACTGAGGAGGGGCGGTCGGGTAGCCTAGTGGTTAAAGTGTTCGATCGTCACGCCGAAGACCCGGGTTCGATTCCCGACATGGGTACAATGTGTGAAGCCCATCTCTGGTGTCCCCCGCCGTGATATTGGTGGAATATTGCTAAAAGCGGCGTAAAAACATATTCACCCACTCCCTCCCTTAAACTGAGGAGCAAAAGAAACTATACCTCTCAGTTGATTTTATCATGTGTTTGATTTTCAATTGAGAAAATCTCAAGTTAGCGATATATTTATCCAAAAAATGAACGGACTGTCACAAAGCCAGCACTCAAAGAATACTTCTAAAGGGTTTTGTTTTTAAATAGATACTAGTAATTTTATTTAAAACTTTAAAACATTTTTATGAAATGTTTTCGCATCTTAGATATCGTATCTTTCAAAATCAGTAAACATTTCCAACGTGGTGGGGGTCATGTGGTGCAAATTCATTTCTTACCCCAGTTTTCTTGGAACCAATTATTTGTACACAAAATTACTCGGCCACATATTACGTTTTACAAACTGTTGCAGACATGAGTGATGGTTAAATAGACATAATCAAATTTAACAACAGTTCTTTCAATTTTCAATTACATAAAAGGGGCGGTCGGTTAGCCTAGTGGTTAAAGTGTAAGCTCGTCACGCCGAAGACCCGGGTTCGATTCCCGACATGGGTACAATGTGTGAAGCCCATTTCTGGTGTCCCCCGCCGTGATATTGCTGGAATATTGCCGAAAGCGGCGTAAAACCATACTCACTCAATCACTCACTCAATTAAATAAAACAGAAACTCTGTATACTTTCTTTTGACTCTCAGTTTACTTTAGAATCAATACTGCAACTCTGACGACGACGACGACGACGACGACGATGATGATGATGACGTTAGCAGAAAATAAACAAAGAATCTGATATTGCGTCACTGGCCGCCATCCAAAGTTATTGAAATCGCCGAATTCAACGATGATTCGACTAAACCTGCATAGAACTTTACATAAACAGAACGTTCCAACTTGGCATATTCATAAGTCGCCCATGCTTGCCGTAAAAGGCGACTATGCTTGTTGTAAGAGGCGACTAATGTCATCGTATCCAAATCGCGTGGATCGATGCTCATGATGTCAATAACTGGATTGTCTGGTCCAGACTCGATTATTTACAGACCGCCGTCATATAGCTGGAATATTGCTGAGTGCGGCGTTAAAGAACAAACAAACGACAACGACAACGAATTCCTCTGGTTCGACAAGCCCCCTTCTATAATATATTGCGTGGATGGATGCTCATGATATCAATCACTGGATTGTCTGGTCCAGTCTCGTTAATTTACAGACCGCCCTCATATAGCTGTAATATTGTCGCAAACAAACGACCAGCACAGGTTGCTGGGGGCCTATTCTAAACAGGAATCACCACGGGTGTAAACAAGACTTTACGTTGATGAGAACTCAGAATTAAAACTAGGTGTAATGCGATGGTCGGCATTACGTGTTTAATAGAAATGTGCAATGATTGAATTACAAACACGTGCACGGACCCGGAGAAACAAAAAACACCCCCCCCAAAACAGCTGTAATTATTCAATAAACCCACTCACATGAGGCACGTGCAGCTGTCGACAGCTGGTGGTGCACAAACAGGAAGATGGCTACCTAACACCTGCTGCTTGCCCCGTATAACAAACCTTCACAGTTACTGTTGTTATATTTATTGCCAGAACGATTCAGTGTTTTTTCCAAGGCTTACAGACAATACATCAATATCCCGATAAGTCTTGTTGAAAAAATGCTTGTCTCTCATGACCCTTCCCTCCTGTAACTTGCCCCCTTCTGATTATACTTATTAAGTACTAATAAAATGTGTTTTTTTTTAAATGAAATTTCGTTTTAGTGCCGGATTCTGTCTTTTATACACGACATGTCATTCACGGTGTCATTCGTCCCTACTCGTCCCTTTCCGTAACCTGCAAGAAGACTGGTTCCCCTATCATGTGCGAAATTACGACAAACCAATCAGATTGCGCGTATGACTTCAAGTACTTCGGTCAAAGAATCCCTCAGGAATAATATTTGATTTAACATATGCCTTGCATCTAACAAATACCCAAGATAAGGTTAAATGTGTTAAATCAAACTGTACAATACCATTAGACCCCGAGTGTTTTAACTAGCATCTGAATAATATCTGATGCATGGGGGAATTACACGTGAATCATCACGCAACGAATTGACAATTCTTTCAGCTATGCCCGTTTGCGCATAGACGGAACCAAGTCGCAAAATGGCCCCGAGACGTGCACGAGTCGCTGCTTTCGTCACCACTCGCCCCTTTCCGTAACCTGCAAGAAGACTCGCCCCCCTATCGATGAATGTTATGTGCGAAAATACGACAAACCAATCAGAATGCGCGTATGATTTCAAGTTCTTCGTCAAAGAATCCCTCAGAAATAATTGTTGATTTTACATATGTCTTACATCTAAAAATATACCCAAGACCCAGTTAAATGTATTCAGTCATACTGTATAATTCCGCATATCCCGATGTGCTTTAAATTGCATCTGAAATATATATAATATATGGGCAAATATATGTGAACCATTACACAACGAGTAGACAATTGTTTTAGGTATGCCCGTTCGCGCTAAGACGGAACCCGGTCGCAAAAAAGGCCACGAGAGGGGCACGAGGCGCTCTTCGGCTTGTCCCGGAATAACACGAGTTAGTCACGAATGGAGTCGCTGTCCGGCTTGTGCCGGAATAACACGATTTGGTCACGAATGTCACAGTGTGTGAGATTCGCTGGGAAGAGAAGCCGTGACACTGTATCCTCAAACCCATTTGTAAATGTTTTAAACAAGGTGACAGACCGGTGGCACACACGCGACCCAGGCAGGGATTCCATTTCCCAGCCATCAAAATAAATGATTTGTGAATAGTTTTTATTGCTTGATGCCGCCACAGGGATGTATGTTTGACAGGACATTGTTTACACACATAGTTTATGAGAAGTCAATGAACACGTACAGTAATCAGTTTCATATTCAGGATACGTGAAAACTGTTTAGTTTTACATCTTTTGCTTCATTCCTTGTGTAGCAGCAACAGAATGTTAGAGACCCATGATGAGATTCGAACGACGGAGCTTCTGATCCGAAGGGACCCGTGAAGATCCGGGGTAGAATAGGTCTTCAGCAAACCCATGCCGTGAGAGGCGACTATGCTTGTCGTAAGAGGTGACTAACCGGATCGGGCCGTCAGGCTCGCTGACTTAGTTGATGCATGTCATCGTATCCAAATAGCGTGGATCATTGGATTATCTGGTCCAGATTCGATTATTTACCAACCACCGTCATATAGCTGGAATATTGTTGAGTGCGGCGTGAAACAACAAACAAACAAACACAATTATTAAAAGAAATAGATGACGTCATATTTTAAAAAAACGGTTACAGTTAAGCCGCCCTGTAGAGACCCGTTTTAGAAACCCGCTCGCCCGGTAGCGTATACAAATTGCTGCAACAGTGTCAAGTTACATCAACCGATGTTGACAGTGGTACACTTCAGATCTTTCATATCTACAGTTCACGTTATTGGTTTAGCCCTATCTCACACTCTCAAACCAGGAAGAGGTTAGATAGAGGCATGTAACACGCATGTGGCCTAGATATCGCTCGACTGTCACAGCCGAGGAGACAAGTGGCTGATTTACCTCTCGCTGCTCGGATATTGCTATGGCCGAAGACCAGACAATCCTTGTGCCTGTGTTCGTGGGCATACTACACGCAGTGATGTCACAGGACGTTGGCTTGACTGGAAACTGTTCCCGGACAGACAGGCCTGAACCCATGGAGATATGGGGAGTGGAGGTAAGCCTGAGTGAGTGAGTTGGGTTTAACGCCGCTTTTAACAGTATTCCAGGTATATCACGGCGTGTCAGCTTAATGTGGGAAAGCCCGAAGTGGCGCAGGTCTCAGACGTTTACCAGTTCGATGAAACCCACGAGCACAGGGATGGTGCTGACAAACCTAGAAACTTAATCGGGGCGAACCGGGATTCGAACCCACAATCATAGGGTTCTGGCCTGCCCAAGGGACGCAACTCTGCACAGAGAATCGCGGCGGCGCCTTAGACGACTGGGCCACCCGTGCCCCACGCCTGGCGAAAGAAAGTTTACACTTAAAACTTCAAGCTTCACTATGGTCGTTACTGTGTACTGTGAAATTGATAACCCCATGTTCCTTAAGACGTCATGTGCACATCACCTGTTGTCAGATACTCATAGATATGATGCATGGAATATCCCATATGGCACCCGTATTAAATAAATCACCATCGAATAAAAGTTTCTTTTGGTTTTCATATTTAGCCACGATCAAATATGGGTGTAAATATAGTCTCTTTTGTCCAACAGTATCGTTAACAGATTGATGTGGGAAGAAAAACCGAAGTGATGTAGGTCTTAGACATTCGATGACATACATGAACAAAGTCCGGGGTAGAATAGGTCTTCAGCAACCCATGCGTGCCGTAAAAGGCGACTATGCTTGTCGTAAGAGGCGACTAACGGGATCGTGTGGTCAGGCTCGCTGACTTGGTTGATGCATGTCATTGTATCTCAAATGCGTGGATCGATGCTCATAATGTCAATCACTGGATAGTCTGGTCCGGATTCGATCATTTACCGACCACCGTTATATAGGTGGAATATTGTTGAGTGCGGCGTTAAACAACAAACAAACAAACACACTAAGTCCTATCGGCATAAAATGCATGTTATTGAAATAAAACACATAGTCTTTGAGAATCAAACAGCGACTCACAAACCAATGATATATAACGTAATTTATTGGTCCAACAAGTACGTTTTGATAGGTACTATGTCAGTCCGCTTGAACAGTGCACGATGGGATAAGTAGAAACCCGATCCAAGATTAGTCTGCATTGGGACACAAATCAGGTCAATGTCAGCACAGACATGGCCGAACCTTGAGTAAGCCCCTCTCAATTAGCAGTGTTAATATTTGAGGTGTTGGTTATGAATCTGGGCCGTGTCACTCTGACATCGGTTGCAAGGTTAAACAGACAAAACTAAGGTTCGTTTCCGGGTTTCCGAGTCAGAATAGTTCACCTGTACCCCATCCTTGTCTTCCGGTGTGGATTTCAGTAACAGAATAGGCCCCCTGTACCCCATGCCTGCCACCCTGTGTGTATTCTTAGGGCGGAATAGGCCCCATACCTCATGCTTGTCTCCCTGTGTGTATTCCTGGACAGAATAGGCCCCATACCTCATGCTTGTCACCCTGTGTGTATTCCTGGGCAGAATAGGCCCCATACCTCATGCTTGTCTCTTTGTGTGTATTCTGGTTCTAAATAAGACCCATACCTCATGCTTGTCTCCCTGTGTGTATTCCTGGGCAGAATAGGCCCCATACCTCATGCTTGTCTCCCTGTGTGTATTCTTAGGGCAGAATAGGCCCCATACCTCATGCTTGTCTCCCTGTGTGTATTCCTGGGCAGAATAGGCCCCATACCTCATGCTTGTCTCCCTGTGTGTATTCCTGGGCAGAATAGGCCCCATACCTCATGCTTGTCACCCTGTGTGTATTCTGGTTCTAAATAAGACCCATACCTCATGCTTGTCACCCTGTGTGTATTCCTGGGCAGAATAGGCCCCATACCTCATGCTTGTCTCCCTGTGTGTATTCCTGGGCAGAACAGGCCCCATACCTCATGCTTGTCACCCTGTGTGTATTCTGGTTCTAAATAGGCCCCACACCTCATGCTTGTCACCCTGTGTGTATTCCTGGGCAGAAAAGGCCCCATACCTCATGCTTGTCTCCCTGTGTGTATTCCTGGGCAGAATAGGTCCCATACCTCATGCTTGTCACCCTGTGTGTATTCCTGGACAGAATAGGTCCCATACCTCATGCTTGTCACCCTGTGTGTATTCCTGGACAGAATAGGCCCCATACCTCATTCTTGTCTCTTTGTGTGTATTCTGGTTCTAAATAAGACCCATACCTCATGCTTGTCTCCCTGTGTGAATTCCTTGGCAGAATAGGCCCCATACCTCATTCTTGTCTCTTTGTGTGTATTCTGGTTCTAAATAAGACCCATACCTCATGCTTGTCACCCTGTGTGTATTCCTGGGCAGAATAGGCCCCATACCTCATTCTTGTCTCTTTGTGTGTATTCTGGTTCTAAATAAGACCCATACCTCATGCTTGTCTCCCTGTGTGAATTCCTGGGCAGAATAGGCCCCATACCTCATATTTGTCTCTTTGTATGTATTCTGGTTCTAAATAAGACCCATACCTCATGCTTGTCTCCCTGTGTGTATTCCTGGACAGAATAGGCCCCATACCTCATTCTTGTCTCTTTGTGTGTATTCTGGTTCTAAATAAGACCCATACCTCATGCTTGTCACCCTGTGTGTATCCTGGTTCTAAATAAGACCCATACCTCATGCTTGTCTCCCTGTGTGTATTCCTGGGCAGAATAGGCCCCATACCTCATTCTTGTCTCTTTGTGTGTATTCTGGTTCTAAATAAGACCCATACCTCATGCTTGTCTCCCTGTGTGTATTCCTGGGCAGAATAGGCGCCACACCTCATGCTTGTCTCCCTGTGTGTATTTCTGGGCAGAATAGGACCCATACCTCATGCTTGTCTCCCTGTGTGTATTCCTGGGCAGAATAGGCCCCATACCTCATGCTTGTCACCCTGTGTGTATTCCTGGGCAGAATAGGCCCCATACCTCATGCTTGTCTCCCTGTGTGTATTCCTGGGCAGAATAGGCCCCATACCTCATGCTTGTCTTCCTGTGTGTATTCCTGGGCAGAATAGGCCCCATACCTCATGCTTGTCACCCTGTGTGTATTCCTGGGCAGAATAGGCCCCATACCGCATGCTTGTCTCCCTGTGTGTATTCCTGGGCAGAATAGGCCCCATACCTCATGCTTGTCACCCTGTGTGTATTCCTGGGCAGAATAGGCCCCATACCTCATGCTTGTCTCCCTGTGTGTATTCCTGGGCAGAATAGGCCCCATACCCCATGCTTGTCTCCCTGTGTGTATTCCTGGGCAGAATAGGCCCCATACCTCATGCTTGTCTCCCTGTGTGTATTCCTGGGCAGAATAAGCCCCATACCTCATGCTTGTCTCCCTGTGTGTATCCTGGTTCTAAATAAGACCCATACCTCATGCTTGTCACCCTGTGTGTATTCCTGGGCAGAATAGGCCCCATACCTCATGCTTGTCTCCCTGTGTGTATTCCTGGGCAGAATAGGCCCCATACCTCATGCTTGTCACCCTGTGTGTATTCCTGGGCAGAATAGGCCCCATACCTCATGCTTGTCTCCCTGTGTGTATTCCTGGGCAGAATAGGCCCCATACCCCATGCTTGTCACCCTGTGTGTATTCCTGGGCAGAATAGGCCCCACACCTCATGCTTGTCTCCCTGTGTGTATTCCTGGGCAGAATAGGCCCCATACCTCATGCTTGTCTCCCTGTGTGTATTCCTGGGCAGAATAGGCCCCATACCTCATGCTTCTCTCCCTGTGTGTATTCCTGGGCAGAATAGGCCCCATACCTCATGCTTGTCACCCTGTGTGTATTCCTGGGCAGAATAGGCCCCATACCTCATGCTTGTCTCCCTGTGTGTATCCTGGTTCTAAATAAGACCCATACCTCATGCTTGTCTCCCTGTGTGTATTCCTGGGCAGAATAGCCCCGTACCTCATGCTTATCACCCCGTGTGTATTCCTTGGCAGAATAGGCCCCATACCTCATGCTTGTCTTCCTGTGTGGTTTCAGTGACAGAATAGGCCCCTGTACGCCATGCTTGTCTCTGTGTGTGGATTCAGTGACATAACAGGTCCCCTGTACTCCATGCTTGTCTCCCTGTGTGGTTTCAGTGACATAATGGGCCCCCTGTACGCCATGCTTGTCTCCCTATGTGGTTTCAGTGACAGAAGAGGCCCCCTGTACGCCATGCTTGTCTCTCTGTGTGGTTTCAGTGACAGAATAGGTCCCCTGTACTCCATGCTTGTCTCTCTGTGTGGTTTCAGTGACAGAATAGCTCCTTGTACCCCATGCTTGTCTCCCTGTGTGGTTTCAGTGACAGAATAGGTGCCCTGTACTCCATGCTTTTCTCTCTGTGTGGTTTCAGTGACAGAATAGGCCCCTTGTACGCCATGCTTGTCTCCCTGTGTGGTTTCAGTGACAGAATAGCCCCTTGTACGCCATGCTTGTCTCCCTGTGTGGTTTCAGTGACAGAATAGCCCCTTGTACGCCATGCTTGTCTCCCTGTGTGGTTTGAGTGACAGAATAGCCCCTTGTACGCCATGCTTGTCTCCCTGTGTGGTTTCAGTGACAGAATAGGCCCCTGTACGCCATGCTTGTCTCCCTGTGTGGTTTCAGTGACAGAAAGGCCCCCTGTACGCCATGCTTGTCTCTCTGTGTGGTTTCAGTGACAAAAAGGCCCCCTGTACGCCATGCTTGTCTCCCTGTGTGGATTCAGTGACAGAATAGGCCCCCTGTACGCCATGCTTGTCTCCCTTAGTGGATTCAGTGACAGAATAGCCCCTTGTACGCCATGCTTGTCTCCCTGTGTGGTTCCAGTGACAGAATAGGCCCCCTGTACCCCATGCTTGTCTCCCTTAGTGGATTCAGTGACAGAATAGCCCTTTGTACGTCATGCTTGTCTCCCTGTGTGGTTTCAGTGACGGAAAGGCCCCCTGTACGCCATGCTTGTCTCCCTGTGTGGTTTCAGTGACAGAATAGCCCCTTGTACGCCATGCTTGTCTCTCTGTGTGGTTTCAGTGACAGAATAGGCCCCCTCTACCCCATGCTTGTCTCCCTGTGTGGTTTCAGTGACAGAATAGGCCCCTTGTGCGCCATGCTTGTCTCCCTGTGTGGTTTAAGTGACAGAATAGGCCCCTTGTACGCCATGCTTATCTCCCTGTGTGGTTTCAGTGACAGAATAGGCCCCTTGTACGCCATGCTTGTCTCCCTGTGTGGTTTCAGTGACAGAATAGGCCCACTGTACGCCATGCTTGTCTCCCTGTGTGGTTTCAGTGACAGAATAGCCCCCCTGTACCGCCATGCTTGACTCCCTGTGTGGTTTCAGTGACAGAATAGGTCCCCTGTACCCCATGATTGTCTCTCTGTGTGGTTTCAGTGACAGAATAGGCCCCCTGTACGCCATGCTTGTCTCCCTGTGTGGATTCAGTGACTGAATAGGTCCCTTGTACATCATGCTAGTCTCCCTGTGTGGTTTCAGTGACAGAATAGACCCCCTGTACTCCATGCTTGTCTCCCTGTGTGGTTTCAGTGACAGAATAGGTCCCCTTTACGCCATACTTGTCTCCCTGTGTGGTTTCAGTGACAGAATAGTTCCCCTGTACTCCATGCTTGTCTCCCTGTGTGGTTTCAGTGACAGAATAGCCCCCTGTACGCCATGAATGGCTCCATGTGTGGTTTCAGTGACAGAATAGGTCCCCTGTACACCATGCTTGTCTCCCTCTGTGGTTTCAGTGACTGAATAGGCCCCTTGTACCCCATGCTTGTCTCCCTGTGTGGTTTCAGTGACGGAAAAGACCCACTGTACCCCATGCTTGTCTCCCTGTGTGGTTTCAGTGACAGAATAGGCCCCTTGTACGCCATGCTTGTCTCCCTGTGTGGTTTCAGTGACAGAATAGGCCCCCTGTATACCATGCTTGTCTCCCTAAGTGGTTTCAGTGACTGAATAGCCCCCTGTACGCCATGCTTGTCTCCCTATGTGGTTTCAGTGACAGAATAGGTCCCATGTACGCCATGCTTGTCTCCCTGTGTGGTTTCAGTGACAGAATAGCCCCCCTGTATACCATGCTTGTCTCCCTAAGTGGTTTCAGTGACTGAATAGCCCCCTGTACGCCATGCTTGTCTCCCTGTGTGGTTTCAGTGACAGAATAGCCCCCTGTACGCCATGCTTGTCTCCCTGTGTGGTTTCAGTGACAGAATAGACCCTTGTACCCCATGCTTGTCTCCCTGTGTGGTTTCAGTGACTGAATAGCCCCCCGTACACCATGCTTGTCTCCCTGTGTGGTTTCAGTGACAGAATAGCCCCCTGTACGCCATGCTTGTCTCCCTGTGTGGTTTCAGTGACAGAATAGCCCCCTGTACGCCATGCTTGTCTCCCTGTGTGGTTTCAGTGACTGAATAGCCCCCTGTACGCCATGCTTGTCTCCCTGTGTGGTTTCAGTGACAGAATAGCCCCCTGTACGCCATGCTTGTCTCCCTGTGTGGTTTCAGTGACTGAATAGCCCCCTGTACGCCATGCTTGTCTCCCTGTGTGGTTTCAGTGACTGAATAGCCCCCTGTACGCCATGCTTGTCTCCCTGTGTGGTTTCAGTGACTGAATAGCCCCCTGTACGCCATGCTTGTCTCCCTGTGTGGTTTCAGTGACTGAATAGCCCCCTGTACGCCATGCTTGTCTCCCTGTGTGGTTTCAGTGACAGAATAGCCCCCTGTACGCCATGCTTGTCTCCCTGTGTGGTTTCAGTGACAGAAAGGCCCCCTGTACACCATGCTTGTCTCTCTGTGTAGTTTCAGTAACAGAATAGGTCCCCTGTACGCCATGCTTGTCTCTCTGTGTAGTTTCAGTAACAGAATAGGTCCCCTGTACGCCATGCTTGTCTCCCTGTGTGGTTTCAGTGACAGAAAGGCCCCCTGTACACCATGCTTGTCTCTCTGTGTGGTTTCAGTGACAGAATAGGCCACTTGTACCCGATGCTTGTCTCCCTGTGTGGTTTCGGGACATAATAGGCCCCCTGTACGCTATGCTTGTCTTCCTGTGTGGTTTCAGTGACAGAATAGACCCCCTGTACGCCATACTTGTCTCCCTGTGTGGTTTCTGTGACAGAATAGGCCCCCTGTACGCCATGCTTGTCTCCCTGTGTGGTTTCAGTGACAGAATAGGCCCCTTGTACGCCATACTTGTCTCCCTGTGTGGTTTCAGTGACAGAATAGGCCCCCTGTACGCCATACTTGTCTCCCTGTGTGGTTTCAGTGACAGAATCGGCCCCCTGTACGCCATGCTTGTCTCCCTGTGTGCATTCTGTGACAGAAAGTTTGTAGTTTCTTTTGAGTAGATTTCTGATGACGGATCTTCACGTATGGTTGGATATTGAGCCAATATGTTTCCAGTTTATTTCCGATTCAAAAATAAGAAATGGGGAGAATTTACTTGACTTTGAATAAGCCGCTTTCCAAGTTTTCCAATATGTATCAGAGAGAGTTTCGGACAAAGATGATTTCAACCAGGAGGAGGATATAAAACTCTGTGATTTCCAAACATAAGAAATACCTGATTCATCTAAAATATTTCTAATAAAGGACAACCATTTCTAAATCCGTTGATTTACAATTGAGTCTTTCTACAAAACCGAATAATACATACGATAGTTTGCTTTTTTCCTGACATAATCTTCGACCAGATGTTAACATCTGGAAAAAGTGGGGTTCTGCGAAATTCACCTTAAAGTATTGTCCGATAAGACACCGTGGCTATTCCTGTGTACTTCCCAGTGATCGCGGCAACCAACGAAGCAATTTGGCACTTTTCTATAAACGTCGTCAATTTCGTTTCGTCCCTGTGAGCGGTGTGACGTCAGTGACGTGTTGTATAAAACACAACCATGCAAGGCGTGCCTAATTTTATTCAAGGGTGCGCACTTAACGCTGGCTTTCGAAGTTGCCGTGCTACACACTTTCAATGCTTGTGTTGTATTCGAGTAGAAGTATAATGATTTAAATTACAACCAAAACTGCTTAAGCACATACAGCGCAGTATTTTATTTTCAACAAGCCTCTTAATATTTTGGATTTAACCCATGCTATTTCGCTCAAAATATTTACTCACACCAAAGAGTTCACCATTGTCACACGCGCCATGTTTTCAATGAAGAGCAGGGTTATCTGCGTTAAAATTAACATTTGAAACTTCACACGGCGCGTTCGGTTCTAAATTCAATTGAGCTCGGTAAAGTCTACCGGTAACCTAGCTTTACATTAGAAACATTTCCTAAACAGACAATGTGAGGTGAGATGAAATGGGGTTTAACGTCGCATTCAAGAGTATTGCACTTGTGTAGCGACGTGAAGGAAGTGTGTGGCTACTTGTACCAGTTCGGACTAATTTAATGCCGATTTATAGTGCCACCGAGATACCATGCCGCAGTTTAACATGAATACCACACTCAGACACAGTATACTGACTCTGAGCGGACCAGTCCTTGTTTTAGCCCCTTAATGCCGAGCGCCAGACAGGGTAACAAGTACCATCTTTTAACGTCTTTTGGTATGACGCGGTCGGGGATCGAACCCCGGACCTTCCGCTCTCCGGGCAGACGGTCTACCACTCGACCACGGGGTTGGTCCTAAACAAACAAACGAACATCCATTTACAAGGTGCACATGCTGATATTAAACTGCTCTTTACTTCCAGAGAGGGCCATTGACTTGCACCATGCTGGGAACAATCAGTAAGTAGACACGTTGTCCCAGTTCAGTGTTTTTTCGTATGCAAGTCACAGGCTCATGTATGTTACAGATACAGTGAATGTTTACAATTCGGTACATACACATAAAAAAATGATGTTGCGTTATTCTTTTTTCTCATACGGGTTAGAATAGGTTTTCAGAATCCCATGCTTGTTGTAAGAGGCGACTAACGCGATTGGTTGATCATGCTCGCTGACTTGGTTGATGTATGTCATCGTATCCCAATTACGTAGATCGATGCTCATGATGTAAAATCATTGGATTATCTGGTCCAGACTCGATTATTTACCGACCGCCGTCATATAGCTGGAATATTGGTGAGTGCGGCGTGAAACAACAAACAAACAAACAAACAAACAAACAAACATATCCACTGTAGATGAATCTACATTTGTACCCAAAGGATAGCTGTATTTTTCGAAAATAAGAGATTTGAATTTAATACTATTGGGATTAAGGCATTATTTTAGGGCGATAATCACTAAATCATTATATCATGCACACATTAACAAAGGAAAATATACTTAGCATTCATCTTTTATGTCAAGGTTGCAGATGGGACGTATTCGAAATCGACCAGATCAAGATCGATTTAAAATGTATTTATTTATATATTTCATGTTCCAATAACCACCCGAATGCTTTATATTTTGAGCTTTAAGGTTACGAGAGCTGACTGTAAGAGCTATCACTTTGTAATGCGGTGGTCTAGTGTAAATTGTTATTGTCTGTTCGTTTGACGCCCGCATCATGATATTTCATATAACAAAATTTGGCCACTTGTATAGCTGACAACTAAAGATCTATTATCTCAGACAAATACTATTTAATAGGTGAGGCGTGGGGTATTTTAAATACTGCTACCAAGTAGTATGCACTAAGCTGTCCTGCCAAACAATAATTCAATCCATAATTCTGTCATCAGATACGAGACAAATATTTCCTTTCGATATTACACAGGCCGGACGGTCTTTGAGCTAAGGGAAATAAAGAATTCAATGTAAATGACAATCATACTCATTATTATAATATATCTTAAAAAGTACAATTTCGAGGAAACGTGATTATTGTACAAATGATTTTTATTCAAACAACTTTTTAGTAGTAGTAAGACGCTTCGATAAACAATCGTCTTTATGAGAGCAGTAAATCTAGCAGGGACTCCCGCTGAACTGGTAAACACGCAATAGGCGTCAATTGGATTTTGAAATATTACCATGATAATTGAACGGCCCTTAGACATTACTTGAACGTGCGCTGTAGGCAGAGAAATGGGCCACTTTAATGTAATTTATCATCCAAAACTGGCCCCAACAGGAGATATCGCGTGGGTGAGATCAAGCGATATCTACACTGTAGATATCGCTACAATGAAATTGCATCACAATGCTTTGCAGACCATTGTGAGGTCATTGGTTACCATGACGTCACAATGAAATGACATCACTAATGGATCTGCTACTGAAGCTGTTAGCAGTACTTTTTACACTAAGACACTGCTTATTACTGTCTACAAACTGAAAAGGTTGGATGTTGGATGAAAAACAAAATCTCACCCTCTTGTAAAAAAGTCCTCGGCAAGCCTCGGAGTGTTCCCACTTTTATCAACTCGTGTTGATATAGAGGATTAAACATTGTGTTCGGTTGTTACCGAAAAATCTACACACGAGTGAGTAATCTGTCACAATTAGAACGAGGCAAAGCCATTCGCCATAAAAAGTCGAGCTCGTAGTTGAAGATTTCCCGTGTTTAGTAGCCACTCGGGATTCCCCCCAGCCTCGTTTTCGAATATGCTCAGTAAGACAACTGCACCATAAACAGGTAAAAAGGATCTAGCGAAGACAACCCACACGAGTTTTCCGTGACAGGCAAGCCACTTGTTAGCATTCATGTTAGGGTTCTTTGGTTACTATTAAAAGTTGATGGGAGTAACGTTTTGAGAATAATTAATGTGATTTGATATTTCTTGATGGCTTTAGATTACTCGGCCCATAACTTTACTTTATTTGCATTCGTCTCACCGTGACGATCATTCTCAATGCGCAACACTAAATAGGCCCACATTTTTAGTGTATGTAAATAGGTTATTCGTTTATTTGTCCTTGGAGCAAGGCTGACACCCCGACAGTGACTCATGATGTGACAATGTTATCTTGTATATTTTATGGTATGTTTTCAGTAGCAAGTGCTCTCCAAACAAATCTCAATCTCGATCTACATTATCACATTTGAGGTCATGAACCTTGTGATCTCGACAGAATCCGAATACACACTGTAGTCCAATATCTACATCCACTTATCTCGAAATACGGATCACTCGACTTCGAGTTAGCCAGTTTTACCGTATATTTACTTGTATCGAAGTACCGATCTATCGATTTCGATTTAACCAGATTTTACCGTACGTCCACTTGTATCGAAGTACGGATCTATCGACTTCGAGTTAACAATTTTTTTACCGTATATCTCCTTGTATCGAAGTGCGGATCTATCGATTTCGATTTAACCAGATTTTACCATATATCCACTTGTATAGAAGTACGGATCACATTATGTCAAGTTTACCAGATTTTACTGTATATCATCATGTATCAGAAGTGCGGATCTCTCGACTCCGAGTTATCAATGTTTCCTTGTACAACAATGTGTATAAATAATCTGCAGGTTGTGAAGGCGGCACACTCCCCCCTGAAGTGGAGGGGGACTTCATGGGAAGTCCCCAGTCACTGAGCGTGGAAGGAACGCTTGTCCTAGCACCCAATGGTGTCCTCAACCCACAGATAGTCTTCACCTGGGAACCCCCTGCGACAGGTACAGGTGACTGAGTGAGTGAGCGTGTGACTGAGTGTTTGTTTGTTTGTTACAGCTATATGGACGAGACAATCCACAATCATGAGCATCGATCCACGCAATCGGGATAAGATGACATGCATCAACTAAGTCAGTGAGCCTGACCACCCGATTCCGTTAGTCGCCTTTTACGACAAGCATGGGTTGCTGAAGACCTCCACAGTGAGGGTATGGGTTGACTGGTGGGTGAGTGAGTGAGTTACTGAATGAATGAGTGAGAGTGTGAGTGAGTGAGTGGGTGGATTGGTAGGTGAGTGAGTGAGTGAGCGTGTTAGCGGTGAGAGTGAATGGATGAATGAGTGAGCGAGTGAGTAGATGAGTAAGTGTGTGAGTGAGCGTGTGAGTGAGTGAATAGATTTCTGGAATATTCTGGGGGCGGTCGGGTAGCCTAGTGGTTAAAGCGTTCGCTCGTCACGCCGAAGACCCGGGTTCGATTCCCGACATGGGTACAATATGTGAAACCCATTTCTGGTGTCCCCCGCCGTGATATTGTTGGAATATTGCTAAACGCGGCGTAAAACCATACTCACTCACTCACTCACTGAACTGGAGGGAGTCTGGATTGAAATGGTTTCTCTGTATCTGATGGGGGATGTGTTGCTGTTGCAGCTGCGGGATTTGAGCACCTGAAGGGCTTCTACGTGGAGATAAATAGGTTTTCAGGGATCTCTCCTGAGCAGAAGTTCTACTGCCGAGTGTTCGACTTCTCTCAAAACAACTTCACGTCCCAGGATTACAAGGTAGGCATGAATAGGATTAATGACATTGACCTTGACCCACAACAAGGTCAGGGTCAAGGGGTTCAACGGAAAAGTAATCTTGACCTTGTTTAGCGAGATTATGTCGTCGTACTGTGGACGAGTGCAGGAAGAGAATTCCATTGTGAAGTATTTAAACCACGTGTTTCTGAAGGTCCGTCATGCTTTGAAAATGACTCGATGATTCTTTAAAGTTAGCTCCATACAGGGGCGGTCGGGTAGCCTAGTGGTTAAATCGTTCCCTCGTCACGCCGAAGACCTGGGTTCGATTCCCGACATGGGTACAATGTGTGAAGCCCATTTCTGATATCCCCCGCCGGGAATATTGCTAAAAGCGACGTAAAACCATACTCACTCACTCACTCACTCACTCGAGCCATGCACCCGTCGTGATTTCCTGACAGATTTTAAACACTGATTCAGATTATCATTGGTCATGAAAAGAAATTCACATTTGGCATTGTTGTATTACTGTAAGCAGTGGGGGCACGGGTGGCCCAGTCGTCTAAGGCGCCGCGATTCGCTGTGCAGACTTACGTCCCTTGGGCACGCCACAAACCTATGATTGTTGGTTCGAATCCCGGTTCACCCCGATTATGTTTCTAGGTTTGTCAGCACCATACCCGTGCTCGTGGGTTTCACCGAAGTGGTAAACGTCTTAGACCTGCATCACCCAACTCACTCACTACTGTAAGCAGTATTTAAATCGAGTTCCCAACTCGTGCATCGTGAGCACTTCACGCGCTTATATACACTACATTCTTCCATCACCCGTGTTTGTTTGTTTGTGTGTTTGTTTGTCTGTTGTTTAACGCCGCACTCAGCAATATTCCAGCTATATGGCGGTCTGTAAATAATCGAATTTGGACCAGACAACAATGACATATATCAACCAAGTCAGCGAGCCTGACCACCCGATCCGCCTCTTACGACAAGCATTGCCTTTCGCGGAGGATTTTTGTTTGTTTGTTGTTTAACGCCACACTCAGCAACTTTCCAGCTATATGACGGCGGTCTGTAAATTAATCGAGTCTGGACCAGACAATCCAGTGATTGACATCATGAGCATCGATCCACGCAATTGGGATCGATGACATGTATCAACCAAGTCAGCGAGCCTGACCACCCGATCCCGTTAGTCGCCTTTTACGACAAGCATAGTCACCTTTTACGGCAAGTATGGGTTTCTGGGGACCTATTCTACCCCGGAATCTTCACGGATCTCATCACCCGTGACTACATACGGTCGCTTTTCGGTGTCATAGTGACGCATGTCAGCCGATGACACCAGGCCATGTATAACCCACTGAAGGCGAATTAGCCCTACTTCGAACTTGAGTGAGTGAGTGAGTTCAAATTTAACGTCGCCTCGGCACTACGAACTTTTCGCGAACTCTACTGTTGCCTTAAATTTAAGCAAAGTGTAGAGTTGAGGCCTCAAGGCATATGTTGCACCAGAAATATTGCCGATGTTATCTGTGTGCTTATTGGTCTCTTAATTCACTTGTGGGGCGGTGAAGTAGCCTAGTGGTTAAAGCGTTCGCTCGTCATGCCGAAGACCCGAGTTCGAATTCCCACATGGGTACAATGTGTGAAGCCCATTTCTGGTGACCACCGCCGTGATATTGCTGGAATATTTCTAAAAGCGGCGTAAAACCATACTCACTGGTTTCTTTCTTGCTGGAACCAGGCCATGGATTCGTTGGTAAATCATAGCGAGTGACATGCTTCATTCACTTATGTTGTTAACATGTTGTTATATAATCCAGCATTGAAATACTTTGGACCAGACAAAACAGTGATTGATATTATGAGCATCGATCAACCCAATCAACCAAGTCATCGAACCTGATCACCGGATACATTTGATCGTCACGTACAATCATTGGTTGCGGTGGACCAATTCGAATCTATAACGGTGATCAAATGAAACCCTTAATCCTGTCATATTTTCTATACATAACATCAACATTGTTTTCACTTCAGCTGAAATTCAAGAAGAAGATGGTGGGTTTCCCCGGGGGCACGAACTTCCTGTATCGTATGGAGATGTTCACTCTGCCAATGTCACCAGAATCCAAGTCCAAGATCGAGTTCTTCACACTTCAGCCCGTGCAAGGTGATGAGTGAGTGAGTTGGGTTTAACGCCGCTTTTAACAGTATTCCAGTTAAATCGCGGCGTGTCAGCTTAATGTGGGAGGGAAGCCCGAAGTGATGCAGGTCTAAGACGTTTACCACTTCGGTGAAACCCACGAGCACGGGTATGGTGCTGACAAACCTAGAAACATAATCGGGGCGAACCGAGACTCGAACCCCACAATCATAGGTTTCTGTCGTGCCTGAGGGACGCAACTCTGAACAGCGAATTGCGGCGCCTTAGACGACTGGGCCACCCGTGCCCCCATACAAGGTGTTGTTTACCGAAAGAAAGCAAAACATAAAAAATGGAAACTTTGTATGACATGTGACTTCCCGATGATGACTGCTGCTTTTTGTGTCAGTGTTATGACATGCCACGTAAACCATATGTTTATAGTCTATTCAGTATTAAACGTCCCTTTGTTATATTGCTTGTGCCCACACACGCACACACGTACACACACGCACGCACGCTCGCACGCACGCACGCACACACGTACACACGCGCGCGCACACATACACACACGTACACACATGCACACACACACACGTACACACGCGCGCACACATACTCAAACATACACGCTCACGCGCGCACACACACACACACGCGCACACACACGCACGCACACTCACATACTCATACATAAACACACACACGCGTGCACACACACACACACACACACACTCACATACTCATACATACACGTACACACGCGCACACACACACACTCACATACTCATACATACACACTCACACGCGCACACACACACATACATGCACACGCATACACTCATACACACGCACACACATGCACTCAGGCACTCACACATACACTCACAAACACACTCACATGCATACACTCACACACACACACACGCACACATACTTCCACACACACAGACACACTGGCACAGACACATAGACACACAGACACATTAGCACAGGCACAAAGACACACACAAACACCACATTCTATCAATAGGTCTTCAGCAACCCATGCTTGCCGTAAAAGGTGACTATGCATGTCGTAAGAGGCGACTAACAGGATCAAGGCAACTAACAGGATCGGGTGGTCAGGCTCGCTGACTTGGTTTACGCATGTCATCGATCCCAATTGTGTGGGTCGATGCTCATGATATCAATCACTGGATTGTCTCGTCCAGACTCGATTTTTTTACAGACCGCCGTCATATAGCTGGAATATTGCTGAGTGCGGCGTTAAACAACAAACCAACCAACCAACCATATTACCCATGTACTTCTATCAAACCAGCTGTTTCAATCAGCAGTGGGTATTGTGATTTGAAACCCCTGATTGACCAAACAGAATCAAGAAGTTTCCAAATTCATGTATAAATTGGTGTTTGCTGCAGATGGCTCTTCTACCGCATCCTGGTCGACGTCAGTCTCCTACGAGATGCGAACCCTCACACCCCCCGCTGACGTCACCGTGCAGTTCAGTCTCGCGCCCAGGGAGTACAACTTCCGGAAGTACAGTGTCGAGCTTGTCAGCGACCATGACGACAAAAATGTACTCTTCGGCTGTGAGGTGGACACACTGGGTGATTATATATGTCAAGGAATAGTAAGTATCAATAGTATTGTATAGCGAGTAAAATGTGTTCAACGTTAAAGTCAGCAATATTCAAGCTACATCACGGCGACCTTGAGTCTAGGCCAAATAAACCAGTGATTGATATTATGAACAACGTTCCACGCCGTCGGGCCTCGATAAGATGCAATCAACCAAGCCACGGCGCGTGGACGCCCTATCCAAATAAGGCGCTTCTTACAAGCTTTAGGCACTAAAGTACAGTCGGAAATGCTAGAAAAATGCCTTTATTAAATACGAATCATAGGGCTGTGAAAATGGCATATATCAAAATAGCACAAATCTACCTAATCTAGTCTATCCTAACTGGCCCATTTCTGGTGTCCCCCCGCCGTGATATTGCTGGAATATTGCTAAAAGTGGCGTAAAACCATACTCACTCACTCACTCACTCACTATCCTAACTGACACTGTGATTAGCCTAAAAGGTTGAGTGAGTGAGTATGGTTTCACGCCGATTTTAGCAATATTCCACCAATATCACGGCGGGGGACACCAGAAATGGGCTTCACACATTGTACCCATGTCGGGAATCGAACCCGGGTCATCAGCGTGACGAGCGAACGCTTTAACCACTAGGCTACCCGACCGCGCCTCTAATAAGATACTGTTACAGGTAAAATGGTAATATACTTAGAAGATATTCATGTGTTGTCATGCATGTATGAAAAGGCCTGAGCTTATTACCTAACACCTGTCCCGAGGTGACGGCCCCACACCGGCCGGTGCATTCCCGTGCATTCATTCACCGTGCATTCACTCAGACAACGGTATTATGATTCTAATCTGTTTCAGACTTCCCTCATTGAACTTAGATATCAATTTAAACTTGTTGTTTTCGTTCCAATTTTTCTCCTGTAAAATTGTCGAATGCACTCCTTGTGACTGAAATATGTCAAACCACACGTAGATAGATCGCTAGATACGCGAGATTTCAATAGCAACAGTCTGTGAAACATTCTATCTTATTTTAACAGACAAAACATGTTTTTCTAGCATTTAGGACAGTATTCCTAGAGACCTATTCCGTGGAAAAAGACCTTTTGGTATATTTCACAGACACAATATAACAGCGCAAATCACAAAATAAATGCGTAAAAGCCGTTTGTATTTATCGAGTGAAAGGCTGAAATAAAAGGATCACTAAAAGGGCTGAACTTAAATGTATGGTAAGAAGATCAATACTAAGAATGATTATTGAATAAGGTAAATTAATAAAATTAGCTTACCTTTATCATAATTAGACGTTTGTTTCGCTTTTTAGAACAACCCAAAGCCACCTGCAGGTGCCACTACTGTCACTCATACATTCCACGACCTGGGGCCTGGTTCATACAGAGTGTGGGTACGTTCCTACTTACATCATGACTTGGTTCATACAGGGTGTGATACGTTCATACTTTCATCATGACCTGGTTCATACGGGGTGTGGGTACGTTCCTACTTACATCATGACTTGGTTCATACAGGGTGTGATACGTTCATACTTACATCATGACCTTGTTCATACAGGGTGTGAAACGTTCATACTTACACCATGACCTGGTTCATACAGGGTGTGAAACGTTCATACTTACATCACGACCTTGTTCATACAGAGTGTGGTACGTTCATACTTACATCATGACCTGGTTCATACAGGGTGTGGTACGTTCATACTTGCATCATCACCTGGTTCATACAGAGTGTGGTAGTTCATACTTACATCATGACCTGGTTCATACAGGGTGTGGTACGTTCATACTTACATCATGACCTGGTTCATACAGGGTGTGATACGTTCATTCTTACATCAAGACCTGGTTCATACAGGGTGTGATACGTTCATACTTACAACATGACCTCGTTCATACAGAGTGTGGTAGTTCATACTTACATCATGACCTAGTTCATACAGGGTGTGGTACGTTCATACTTACATCATGACCTGGTTCATACCAGGTGTGATACATTCATTCTTACATCAAGACCTGGTTCATACAGGGTGTGGTACGTTCATACTTACATCATGACCTGGTTCATACAGAGTGTGGTTGTTCATACTTATATCATGACCTGGTTCATACAGAGTGTGGTACATTCATACTAACATCATGACCTGGTTTATACAGGATGTGGTACTTTTATACTTACATCATGACCTGGTTCATACAGGGTGTGAAACGTTCATTCTTACATCAAGACCTGGTTCATACAGGGTGTGGTACGTTCATACTTACATCATGACCTCGTTCATACAGAGTGTCGAGTTCATACTTACATCATGACCCGGTTCATACAGGGTGTGGTACGTTCATACTTACATCATGACCTGGTTCATACCAGGTGTGATACATTCATTCTTACATCAAGACCTGGTTCATACAGGGTGTGGTACGTTCATACTTACATGTACATCATGACCTCGTTCATACAGAGTGTGGTACGTTCATACTTACATCATGACCTGGTTCATACCAGGTGTGATACATTCATTCTTACATCAAGACCTGGTTCATACAGGGTGTGGTACGTTCATACTTACATGTACATCATGACCTCGTTCATACAGAGTGTGGTACGTTCATACTTACATGTACATCATGACCTGGTTCATACAGGGTGTGGTACGTTCATACTGACATCATGACCTGGTTCATACCAGGTGTGATACATTCATACTTACATCATGACCTGCTTCATACAGGGTGTGGTACATTCATACTTACGTCATGAACTGGTTTATACCAGGTGTGATACATTCATACTTACATCATGACCTGCTTCAAAGAGGGTGTGGTACATTCATACTTACGTCATGAACTGGTTTATACAGACCTGCAACACCTCCGCCTCACAGGCAGCGATATAACTGAAATACAAGCAGCGAAAACTCACTCACACGCACGCACGCACGCACTGTTTAAGTGAATCAATTTGAGAGCAAGTCGTCTAGTCTTGGATATTTTATGGTCGCTTCAAATACCCTACGCTTATTTCTGCATCCAGATCACACCTGTTGACCCCTATTGGCAGACAGAAGGTCAGTGTTTGTGTTTTGAGAGGACGTCAGCCAATCACACAGCCTGCCTCCGTTGTATCACGACATCTACGGGAAACATCACCGTCGAACACAACGGTCAGTCGGATGTATTTGTCTGAAACACGTCTCAAAGATGGGCGTGCCTGCCTGCCTGCCTGCGTCTGTCTGTGTCTGTGTGTGTGCGTGCGTCTCTGTCTGTATCTGTGTGTACGTGTGTCTCTGTCTGTATCTGTGTGTGCGTGTATCTCTGTCTGTATCCGTGTGTGCGTGTATATCTGTCTGTATCTGTGTGTGCGTGTATATCTGTCTGTATCTGTGTGTGCGTGTATCTCTGTCTGTATCTGTGTGTGCGTGTATCTCTGTCTGTATCTGTGTGTGCGTGCGTCTCTGTCTGTATCTGTGTGTGCGTGTATCTCTGTTTGTATCTGTGTGTGCGTGTATCTCTGTCTGTATCTGTGTGTGCGTGTATATCTGTCTGTATCTGTGTGTGCGTGTATCTCTGTTTGTATCTGTGTGTGCGTGTATCTCTGTCTGTATCTGTGTGTGCGTGTATCTCTGTCTGTATCTGTGTGTGCGTGTATCTCTGTCTGTATCTGTGTGTGCGTGTATCTCTGTCTGTATCTGTGTGTACGTGTTTCTCTGTCTGTATCTGTGTGTGCGTGTATCTCTGTCTGTATCTGTGTGTACGTGTTTCTCTGTCTGTATCTGTGTGTGCGTGTATCTCTCTCTGTATGTGTGTGTGCGTGTGTCTGTCTGTATCTGTGTGTGCGTGTATCTCTGTCTGTATCTGTGTGTGCGTGTATCTCTGTCTGTATCTGTGTGTGCATGTATCTCTGTCTGTATCTATGTGTGCGTGTATCTCTGTCTGTATCTATGTGTGCGTGTATCTCTGTCTGTATCTATGTGTGCGTGTATCTCTGTCTGTATCTGTGTGTGCGTGTATCTCTGTCTGTATCTATGTGTGCGTGTATCTCTGTCTGTATCTGTGTGTGCGTGTATCTCTGTCTGTATCTGTGTGTGCGTGTATCTCTGTCTGTATCTATGTGTGCGTGTATCTCTGTCTGTATCTGTGTGTGCGTGTATCTCTGTCTGTATCTATGTGTGCGTGTATATCTGTCTGTATCTGTGTGTGCGTGTATCTCTGTCTGTATCTGTGTGTGCGTGTATCTCTGCCTGTATCTGTGTGTGCGTGTATCTCTGTCTGTATCTGTGTGTGCGTGTATCTCTGTCTGTATCTGTGTGTGCATGTATCTCTGTCTGTATCTATGTGTGCGTGTATCTCTGTCTGTATCTGTGTGTGCGTGTATCTCTGTCTGTATCTATGTGTGCGTGTATCTCTGTCTGTATCTGTGTGTGCGTGTATATCTGTCTGTATCTGTGTGTGCGTGTATCTCTGTCTGTATCTGTGTGTGCGTGTATCTCTGTCTGTATCTGTGTGTACGTGTATCTCTGTCTGTATCTGTGTGTGCGTGTATCTCTGTCTGTATCTGTGTGTGCGTGTATCTCTGTCTGTATCTGTGTGTGCGTGTATCTCTGTCTGTATCTGTGTGTACGTGTATCTCTGTCTGTATCTGTGTGTGCGTGTATCTCTGTCTGTATCTGTGTGTGCGTGTATCTCTGTCTGTATCTGTGTGTGCGTGTATCTCTGTCTGTATCTGTGTGTGCGTGTATATCTGTCTGTATCTGTGTGTGCGTGTATCTCTGTCTGTATCTGTGTGTGCGTGTATCTCTGTCTGTATCTGTGTGTGCGTGTATCTCTGTCTGTATCTGTGTGTGCGTGTGTCTCTGTCTGTATCTGTGTGTGCGTGTATCTCTGTCTGTATCTGTGTGTGCGTGTATCTCTGTCTGTATCTGTGTGTGCGTGTATCTCTGTCTGTATCTGTGTGTGCGTGTATCTCTGTCTGTATCTATGTGTGCGTGTGTCTCTGTCTGTATCTGTGTGTACGTGTGTCTGTCTGTATCTGTGTGTGCGTGTATATCTGTCTGTATCTGTGTGTACGTGTGTCTGTCTGTATCTGTGTGTGCGTGTATATCTGTCTGTATCTGTGTGTGCGTGTATCTCTGTCTGTATCTGTGTGTGCGTGTATCTCTGTCTGTATCTGTGTGTGCATGTATCTCTGTCTGTATCTATGTGTGCGTGTGTCTCTGTCTGTATCTGTGTGTGCGTGTATATCTGTCTGTATCTATGTGTGCGTGTATCTCTGTCTGTATCTGTGTGTGCGTGTATCTCTGTCTGTATCTGTGTGTGCGTGTATCTCTGTCTGTATCTGTGTGTGCGTGTATCTCTGTCTGTATCTGTGTGTGCGTGTATCTCTGTCTGTATCTATGTGTGCGTGTGTCTCTGTCTGTATCTGTGTGTACGTGTGTCTGTCTGTATCTGTGTGTGCGTGTATCTCTGTCTGTATCTGTGTGTGCGTGTATCTCTGTCTGTATCTGTGTGTGCGTGTGTCTCTGTCTGTATCTGTGTGTACGTGTATCTCTGTCTGTATCTGTGTGTGCGTGTATCTCTGTCTGTATCTGTGTGTGCGTGTATCTCTGTCTGTATCTGTGTGTACGTGTGTCTGTCTGTATCTGTGTGTGCGTGTATATCTGTCTGTATCTGTGTGTGCGTGTATCTCTGTCTGTATCTGTGTGTGCGTGTATCTCTGTCTGTATCTGTGTGTGCGTGTATCTCTGTCTGTATCTGTGTGTGCGTGTGTCTCTGTCTGTATCTGTGTGTGCGTGTATCTCTGTCTGTATCTGTGTGTGCGTGTATCTCTGTCTGTATCTGTGTGTGCGTGTATCTCTGTCTGTATCTGTGTGTGCGTGTATCTCTGTCTGTATCTATGTGTGCGTGTGTCTCTGTCTGTATCTGTGTGTACGTGTGTCTGTCTGTATCTGTGTGTGCGTGTATATCTGTCTGTATCTGTGTGTGCGTGTATCTCTGTCTGTATCTGTGTGTGCGTGTATCTCTGTCTGTATCTGTGTGTGCGTGTATCTCTGTCTGTATCTGTGTGTGCGTGTATCTCTGTCTGTATCTGTGTGTGCATGTATCTCTGTCTGTATCTATGTGTGCGTGTGTCTCTGTCTGTATCTGTGTGTGCGTGTATATCTGTCTGTATCTATGTGTGCGTGTATCTCTGTCTGTATCTGTGTGTGCGTGTATCTCTGTCTGTATCTGTGTGTGCGTGTATATCTGTCTGTATCTATGTGTGCGTGTATCTCTGTCTGTATCTGTGTGTGCGTGTATCTCTGTCTGTATCTGTGTGTGCGTGTATCTCTGTCTGTATCTGTGTGTGCGTGTATCTCTGTCTGTATCTGTGTGTGCGTGTATCTCTGTCTGTATCTATGTGTGCGTGTGTCTCTGTCTGTATCTGTGTGTACGTGTGTCTGTCTGTATCTGTGTGTGCGTGTATCTCTGTCTGTATCTGTGTGTGCGTGTATCTCTGTCTGTATCTGTGTGTGCGTGTGTCTCTGTCTGTATCTGTGTGTACGTGTATCTCTGTCTGTATCTGTGTGTGCGTGTATCTCTGTCTGTATCTGTGTGTGCGTGTATCTCTGTCTGTATCTGTGTGTACGTGTGTCTGTCTGTATCTGTGTGTGCGTGTATATCTGTCTGTATCTGTGTGTGCGTGTATCTCTGTCTGTATCTGTGTGTGCGTGTATCTCTGTCTGTATCTGTGTGTGCGTGTATCTCTGTCTGTATCTGTGTGTGCGTGTGTCTCTGTCTGTATCTGTGTGTGCGTGTATCTCTGTCTGTATCTGTGTGTGCGTGTATCTCTGTCTGTATCTGTGTGTGCGTGTATCTCTGTCTGTATCTGTGTGTGCGTGTATCTCTGTCTGTATCTATGTGTGCGTGTGTCTCTGTCTGTATCTGTGTGTACGTGTGTCTGTCTGTATCTGTGTGTGCGTGTATATCTGTCTGTATCTGTGTGTGCGTGTATCTCTGTCTGTATCTGTGTGTGCGTGTATCTCTGTCTGTATCTGTGTGTGCGTGTATCTCTGTCTGTATCTGTGTGTGCGTGTATCTCTGTCTGTATCTGTGTGTGCATGTATCTCTGTCTGTATCTATGTGTGCGTGTGTCTCTGTCTGTATCTGTGTGTGCGTGTATATCTGTCTGTATCTATGTGTGCGTGTATCTCTGTCTGTATCTGTGTGTGCGTGTATCTCTGTCTGTATCTATGTGTGCGTGTATCTCTGTCTGTATCTATGTGTGCGTGTATCTCTGTCTGTATCTGTGTGTGCGTGTATCTCTGTCTGTATCTATGTGTGCGTGTATCTCTGTCTGTATCTGTGTGTGCGTGTATCTCTGTCTGTATCTGTGTGTGCGTGTATCTCTGTCTGTATCTATGTGTGCGTGTATCTCTGTCTGTATCTGTGTGTGCGTGTATCTCTGTCTGTATCTATGTGTGCGTGTATATCTGTCTGTATCTGTGTGTGCGTGTATCTCTGTCTGTATCTGTGTGTGCGTGTATCTCTGCCTGTATCTGTGTGTGCGTGTATCTCTGTCTGTATCTGTGTGTGCGTGTATCTCTGTCTGTATCTGTGTGTGCATGTATCTCTGTCTGTATCTATGTGTGCGTGTATCTCTGTCTGTATCTGTGTGTGCGTGTATCTCTGTCTGTATCTATGTGTGCGTGTATCTCTGTCTGTATCTGTGTGTGCGTGTATATCTGTCTGTATCTGTGTGTGCGTGTATCTCTGTCTGTATCTGTGTGTGCGTGTATCTCTGTCTGTATCTGTGTGTACGTGTATCTCTGTCTGTATCTGTGTGTGCGTGTATCTCTGTCTGTATCTGTGTGTGCGTGTATCTCTGTCTGTATCTGTGTGTGCGTGTATCTCTGTCTGTATCTGTGTGTGCGTGTATATCTGTCTGTATCTGTGTGTGCGTGTATCTCTGTCTGTATCTGTGTGTGCGTGTATCTCTGTCTGTATCTGTGTGTGCGTGTATCTCTGTCTGTATCTGTGTGTGCGTGTATCTCTGTCTGTATCTGTGTGTGCGTGTATCTCTGTCTGTATCTATGTGTGCGTGTGTCTCTGTCTGTATCTGTGTGTACGTGTGTCTGTCTGTATCTGTGTGTGCGTGTATATCTGTCTGTATCTGTGTGTGCGTGTATCTCTGTCTGTATCTGTGTGTGCGTGTATCTCTGTCTGTATCTGTGTGTGCGTGTATCTCTGTCTGTATCTGTGTGTGCGTGTGTCTCTGTCTGTATCTGTGTGTACGTGTATCTCTGTCTGTATCTGTGTGTGCGTGTATCTCTGTCTGTATCTGTGTGTGCGTGTATCTCTGTCTGTATCTGTGTGTACGTGTGTCTGTCTGTATCTGTGTGTGCGTGTATATCTGTCTGTATCTGTGTGTGCGTGTATCTCTGTCTGTATCTGTGTGTGCGTGTATCTCTGTCTGTATCTGTGTGTGCGTGTATCTCTGTCTGTATCTGTGTGTGCGTGTGTCTCTGTCTGTATCTGTGTGTGCGTGTATCTCTGTCTGTATCTATGTGTGCGTGTATCTCTGTCTGTATCTGTGTGTGCGTGTATCTCTGTCTGTATCTGTGTGTGCGTGTATCTCTGTCTGTATCTATGTGTGCGTGTGTCTCTGTCTGTATCTGTGTGTACGTGTGTCTGTCTGTATCTGTGTGTGCGTGTATATCTGTCTGTATCTGTGTGTGCGTGTATCTCTGTCTGTATCTGTGTGTGCGTGTATCTCTGTCTGTATCTGTGTGTGCGTGTATCTCTGTCTGTATCTGTGTGTGTGTGTATCTCTGTCTGTATCTGTGTGTGCATGTATCTCTGTCTGTATCTATGTGTGCGTGTGTCTCTGTCTGTATCTGTGTGTGCGTGTATATCTGTCTGTATCTATGTGTGCGTGTATCTCTGTCTGTATCTGTGTGTGCGTGTATCTCTGTCTGTATCTGTGTGTGCGTGTATATCTGTCTGTATCTATGTGTGCGTGTATCTCTGTCTGTATCTGTGTGTGCGTGTATCTCTGTCTGTATCTGTGTGTGCGTGTATCTCTGTCTGTATCTGTGTGTGCGTGTATCTCTGTCTGTATCTGTGTGTGCGTGTATCTCTGTCTGTATCTGTGTGTGCGTGTATCTCTGTCTGTATCTGTGTGTACGTGTGTCTGTCTGTATCTGTGTGTGCGTGTATATCTGTCTGTATCTGTGTGTGCGTGTATCTCTGTCTGTATCTGTGTGTGCGTGTATCTCTGTCTGTATCTGTGTGTGCGTGTGTCTCTGTCTGTATCTGTGTGTGCGTGTATATCTGTCTGTATCTATGTGTGCGTGTATCTCTGTCTGTATCTGTGTGTGCGTGTATCTCTGTCTGTATCTGTGTGTGCGTGTATATCTGTCTGTATCTATGTGTGCGTGTATCTCTGTCTGTATCTGTGTGTGCGTGTATCTCTGTCTGTATCTGTGTGTGCGTGTATCTCTGTCTGTATCTGTGTGTGCGTGTATCTCTGTCTGTATCTGTGTGTACGTGTATCTCTGTCTGTATCTGTGTGTACGTGTGTCTCTGTCTGTATGTGTGTGCGTGCGTCTCCGTCTGTATCTATGTGTGCGTGCGTCTCTGTCTGTATCTCTGTCTGTATCTATGTGTGCGTGTATCTCTGTCTGTATCTATGTGTGCGTGTATATCTGTCTGTATCTGTGTGTGCGTGTATATCTGTCTGTATCTGTGTGTGCGTGTATCTCTGTCTGTATGTGTGTGTACGTGTATCTCTGTCTGTATCTGTGTGTGCGTGTATATCTGTCTGTATCTGTGTGTGCGTGTATCTCTGTCTGTATCTGTGTGTACGTGTATCTCTGTCTGTATGTGTGTGTACGTGTATCTCTGTCTGTATCTGTGTGTGCGTGTATATCTGTCTGTATCTGTGTGTACGTGTATCTCTGTCTGTATGTGTGTGTACGTGTATCTCTGTCTGTATCTGTGTGTGCATGTATGTCTGTGTATTTGTTTGTGCGTGTGTCTGCCTGTATCTGTGTGTGCGTGTATAACTGTCTGTATCTGTGTGTACGTGTATCTCTGTCTGTATCTGTGTGTGCGTGTATCTCTGTCTGTATCTGTGTGTGCGTGTATCTCTGTCTGTATCTGTGTGTGCGTGTGTCTCTGTCTGTATCTGTGTGTGCGTGTATCTCTGTCTGTATCTGTGTGTGCGTGTATCTCTGTCTGTATCTGTGTGTGCGTGTATATCTGTCTGTATCTATGTGTGCGTGTATCTCTGTTTGTATCTGTGTGTGCGTGTATCTCTGTCTGTATGTGTGTGCGTGTATTTCTGTCTGTATCTGTGTGTGCGTGTATCTCTGTCTGTATGTGTGTGCGTGTATCTCTGTCTGTATCTGTGTGTGCGTGTATCTCTGTCTGTATCTGTGTGTGCGTGTATCTCTGTCTGTGTCTGTGTGTGCGTGTATCTCTCTCTGTATGTGTGTGTGCGTGTATCTCTGTCTGTATCTGTGTGTGCGTGTGTCTCTGTCTGTATCTGTGTGTGCGTGTATATCTGTCTGTATCTATGTGTGCGTGTATCTCTGTCTGTATCTGTGTGTGCGTGTATCTCTGTCTGTATCTGTGTGTGCGTGTATCTCTGTCTGTATCTGTGTGTACGTGTGTCTCTGTCTGTATGTGTGTGCGTGCGTCTCCGTCTGTATCTATGTGTGCGTGTATGTCTGTCTGTATCTATGTGTGCGTGTATATCTGTCTGTATCTGTGTGTGCGTGTATCTCTGTCTGTATCTGTGTGTGCGTGTATCTCTGTCTGTATCTGTGTGTACGTGTATCTCTGTCTGTATCTGTGTGTGCGTGTATGTCTGTCTGTATCTGTGTGTGCGTGTATATCTGTCTGTATCTGTGTGTGCGTGTGTCTCTAAGAATTTTTGTGAGCATGCGTGCATGCGTCTCTATATCTCTGTGTATGTCTGTATGTATCTGTATGTGTGTCTGTATGTATATATGTGTGTGTGTCTGTCTGTATCTGTGTGTGCGTGTATCTCTGTTTGTATCTGTGTGTACGTGTATCTCTGTCTGTATCTGTGTGTGCGTGTATATCTGTCTGTATCTGTGTGTGCGTGTGTCTCTAAGAATTTTTGTGAGCATGCGTGCATGCGTCTCTATATCTCTGTGTATGTCTGTATGTATCTGTATGTGTGTCTGTATGTATATATGTGTGTGTGTCTGTCTGTATCTGGGTGTGTGTCTGTATCTGTGTGTTTGTATGTCTGTATATATGTGTGTGTGTCTTTTTGTATCTGTGTGTGCGTATGTCTGTCACTGGATTGTCTGTTCCGCCATCATATAGCTGGCACATCGCTGAGCGCGGCGTTCAACATCAACTGTCATAACTAAATAAGTCATAACTGTCCTTCACCATAATCTGTGTCGGGGGCACGGGTGGCCCAGTCGCGATTCGCTGTGCAGAGTTGCGTCCCTTGGGCACGCCAGAAACCTATGATTGTGGGTTCGAATCCCGGTTCGCCCCGATTATGTTTCTAGGTTTGTCAGCACCATACCCGTGCTCGTGGGTTTCACCGAAGTGGTAAACGTCTGAGACCTGCATCACTTCGGGCTTTCCTCCCACATTAAGCTGACACGCCGTGATATAACTGGAATACTGTGAAAAGCGGCGTTAAACCCAACTCACTCACTCACTCACTGACTCATAATCTGTGTCTCCTAGCAGGAACCTCCCCCACAACCAGATCAACAGATCTATTAGCTAATGTGATAACATGAACTTCGCATTTCTTTCTGGGGACATTCCCCTGTAACTCTCCTTTCTTTATTCTGTGTCCAGCAGCAGGGACGCCTCCTACATCACCAGCACAGCCAGCAGGGTCAACAGCTCCCGATGTGGGCGACACCAGTTAGTGCTTCTAAACTCGCCACTATCTATAGCACACGAATGAGACTGCAACGGTCATTCTTCTACACTGTCGCGTGCTTTATATTGTTGTTGCTTGTTGTTTTATGGGTTAAACGCCGCACTCAGCAATATTCCAGCTCTGACGGCGGTCTGTAAATAATCGAGTCTGGACCAGACAATCCAGTGATTAATATCATGAGCATCAATCCACGCACTTGGGATACGATGGCATGCATCAACAAAGTCAGCGAGCGTGACCACCCGATCCCGTTAGTCGCCTCTTGCGACAAGCATAGTCGCCTTTTACGGCAAGCATGGTTTGCTGAAGACCTATTCTTGCTATATATTGCTTTCTAACCCTATTCCACAGTCCTAACATCGAGCACCACTGTCTATTACAAACATACTATTCTAACATAAGCATGATTGCACACTTGAGCATACAACAATGTAACCAAGTATAGAAATCCCTGGACGTCTGAAACAAAATGTCGATGCACCAGCTTGAACAACGACTTTGTCTTCTTGTCTTCGTTATATATCATCATGTCTCGGAGTGATTCATTGATTGATTGGTTGATTGAGTGAGTATGGTGTAACGCCGCCTTTAGCAATACTTAAGCAATATCACGTCGGGGGACACCATAAAGGGGCTTGACACACTGTACCCATGTAGGAATCAAACCCGGATCTTCGGCGTCACGAGCGAACACTTTAACCACTAGGCTACCCGGCGCATGTTTACAAGCAATACCGGGGCAGAACCTCTCTTTTCTTTCTTGGAACATTCCCCTACTCTCCTTTCTATATTCTGTGTCCAGCAGCAGGGACGTCTCCTACATCACCAGCAACAGCAACAGGGTCAACAGCTCCCAGTGTCGGGGACACCAGTAAGTGTTTCTCGACCTGACACCCCACCATGTGTGACACCCCGCCTTTAACGACAAGCATTGTCGCCTTTTACGGCAAGCATGGGTTGCTGAATACAACCCCAGATCTCCACGGTAAGAAGTGTGCCATGCTTGACCTAAAAGCCGACTTAATAGCATCGCATACATTCTGTCACTGACTTATCTGGTCCAGAGTCGATTATGTACAGACTGCCATCTGGAATATTTATGGGTGCGGCATAAAACAACATCCCCACACTCGCGTTCAGCAGAAACTACATTGCGATGGTAACGCCTCCTCTTCCTGGTTATGCTGCTTTAGCTTTAGCGCTAGTACACTTTTTCCGACCCGTGAAGATTCGGGGTAGAATAGGTCTTCAGCAACCCATGCTTTACGTAAAAGGCGACTATACTTGTCGTAAGAGGCGACTAACGGGATCGGGTGGTCAGGATCGGATTGGTTGATAGCTGGAATATTGCTGAGTGCGACGTTAAAACAACAAACCAACCAACAAACAAGTTTTTTCCATAACTGATGAGTCAGTGCCTCGTCATAAATCCCTCATTGTTCTCGTTGTTTCAGAAGAGCCGCCCAATGATGTGGTGACAGGCTTGGCAGTCTTGTTTGGTTCATTGTTCGGCCTGATCCTGGTTGCTGTAGTTGTGATGGTGTACAGACGACAGCGCGCCTCAGGTCAGTGGACTAACATGACACACTGGAAAAACAACAACAATTATTTTAAATACGTTTTGTTTCCGACAAACAGGGCATCAAGTAAATAAAGAACTGACGGATATAACGAAATTATTTTTAGTCCCGACAAATTGTTGTATATGTACTGTATGTTTGCTTTTAACGAACTACGGTTATTACGTACTGAACTTGGTCCCCTCGACCTCGTTATAACCGTAGTTTAGTGTACTTATAATCTACCTATTCGTGTTTAGCAGGTGCACAAGTACTGGCGAGACCACCTATAATATAAAGTACATGATTGTGTTTCAGCTCTTCGCGTGGAAGGTGCACCTGCTGCATTGTAACAATAGAACACTTATTATGTATTTGTGTTTCAGCTCTTCACGTGAGGAAGGTGCACCTGCTGCATTGTAACAATAGAACACTTATTATGTATTTGTGTTTCAGCTCTTCGCGTGAGGAAGGTGCACCTGCTGCATAATAACAATAGAACACTTATTATGTATTTGTGTTTCAGCTCTTCACGTGAGGAAGGTGCACCTGCTGCATTGTAACAATAGAACACTTATTATGTATTTGTGTTTCAGCTCTTCGCGTGAGGAAGGTGCACCTGCTGCATTGTAACAATAGAACACTTATTATGTATTTGTGTTTCAGCTCTTCACGTGAGGAAGGTGCACCTGCTGCATTGTAACAATAGAACACTTATTATGTATTTGTGTTTCAGCTCTTCGCGTGAGGAAGGTGCACCTGCTGCATTGTAACAATAGAACACTTATTATGTATTTGTGTTTCAGCTCTTCGCGTGAGGAAGGTGTAGCTGCTGCATTGTAACAATAGAACACTTATTATGTATTTGTGTTTCAGCTCTTCGCGTGGAAGGTGCACCTGCTGCATTGTAACAATAGAACACTTATTATGTATTTGTGTTTCAGCTCTTCGCGTGAGGAAGGTGCACCTGCTGCATTGTAACAATAGAACACTTATTATGTATTTGTGTTTCAGTTCTTCGCGTGGAAGGTGCACCTGCTGCATTGTAACAATAGAACACTTATTATGTATTTGTCTTCCAGCTCTTCACGTCAGGAAGGTGTAGCTGCTGCATTGTAACAATAGAACACTTATTATGTATTTGTGTTTCAGCTCTTCGCGTGAGGAAGGTGCACCTGCTGCATTGTAACAATAGAACACTTATTATGTATTTGTGTTTCAGCTCTTCGCGTGGAAGGTGCACCTGCTGCATTGTAACAATAGAACACTTATTATGTATTTGTGTTTCAGCTCTTCGCGTGAGGAAGGTGCACCTGCTGCATTGTAACAATAGAACACTTATTATGTATTTGTGTTTCAGTTCTTCGCGTGGAAGGTGCACCTGCTGCATTGTAACAATAGAACACTTATTATGTATTTGTCTTCCAGCTCTTCACGTCAGGAAGGTGTAGCTGCTGCATTGTAACAATAGAACACTTATTATGTATTTGTGTTTCAGCTCTTCGCGTGAGGAAGGTGCACCTGCTGCATTGTAACAATAGAACACTTATTATGTATTTAACACGTCCCATTTTAATTCTGGAAACCCAAAAGTCCAGAAACTCTACGCTCTTTGCCCAGTCTCGGTTAAAGGTATTTACAAAATTAAACATGCCGTTTTCATGGGAACATACCAAGGAAGAAAAAATGAAAAAAAAATTGTTTAAAAACTCAATATTTAGACTATGTCGCCCATGGGCCTGCCCATGGGCGAAGTGTGGCCCATGGGCGAAGTCTGGCCCATGGGTAGGCCCATGGGCAGGCCCATGGCCGAGAATATGTTCCTTTACTTAAAACTCATGTTTTTGTTTCGCAAATACATTTAATGTATTCATTCAAGTATCATGACACAAAATTTAACTCATTTTAACTTAATTCAACGATTTTATAGCGATATTGAAATATTTCGCCCATGGGCGAGAAAAAGGTTTGGCCCATGGGCGAGTATATGTTCCTTTACTTAAAACTCATGTTTTTGTTTCGCAAATACATTAAATGTATTCATTGAAGTATCATGATACAAAATTAAACTCATTTTAACTTAATTCAACGATTTTATAGCGATATTGAAATATTTCGCCCATGGGCGAGAAAAAGGTTTGGCCCATGGGTAGGCCCATGGGTAGGCCCATGGGCGAGAATATGTTCCTTTACTTAAAACTCATGTTTTTGTTTCGCAGATACATTTAATGTATTCAATCAAGTATAATGACACAAAATTTAACTCATTTTAACTTAATTCAACGATTTTATAGCGATATTGAAATATTTCGCCCATGGGCGAGAAAAAGTTTTGGCCCATGGGCGAGTATATGTTCCTTTACTCAAAACTCATGTTTTTGTTTCGCAAATACATTAAATGTATTTATTCAAGTATCATGTTACAAATTTTAACTAATTTTTACTTAATTCAACTATTTTACGGCGTTATTAAAATATTTCGCCCATGTTTTCGTCAGTCCCTTTCAAGCATCAACTAACTGTTTGCAAAGTATATTGTATCATGTGAAATATACTTTATATTATATCATTACATTACTAGTTAAAAAGGGCATTTGGTTGGATGTTTCCTTTAGTTCTACAAATTTCACCTGTTTTACATATTGTAGCGATCTTTAATGAACCCGGCCTTACCTCTCAAAACGTTTTGACAGTTTATCATACGAATTCATTTGCGTGTACTCCAATTCATTGGAGTTATTTTCCACAACATTAAATTTTAGTTAGTTTCTATTTCATTTCCCATTTAATGTCCCGTTGATACATCACACTGGGCAATTACGTTACACCAGGTATGCAATATACAGGTACGCGTGCGCGTATTTTAATGAAAAAAACTATTCGTCTTTTACTGCATAACGTTTGGCTGAATATCTTACATTCTAACGAAATCTCGAAATAATTATTTAATTACATGCGGTTTCGAACTGACCAGTGGGAATTATGTTTCAATGCGATTGAGGAAAACGTGAGTGAATATTGTGACACTAAAGCAACTTTTAACTGCATTGTCACTTTTGGTATGAAAATGGTAACAGTTCAGAAAAAACAACAGCCTTCTTATGATAATTCTCATTAGTACGTTGTATCTAATTACAGTGTCGGCCTTATTTACAGGTGATTCTACAATACCTGCTCTCGGTCAATTACGATCTACCACACCACGCGTGAATAAACAGTTATGCAGGTGTTGCTGTGGGCAAATACCTAGCCTGAAAATGTTTATTGTTTTTAGGATACATGTTTTACACATGTTCGTTGATATGTGGATATATTAAGCACAAAGACAAAAAAATGTTTATGAAAGATGAATTAGTGCCTTGATATATTCATCGAGATGTGTATCATCGTTTAATGGGGTCATTCAATAAACGTATGTTTGGAGGAGATATAAAAGGAGCCGCCCAATATACACAGTGTCGTCCGGTGAACTACCACCCCACCCTGTCCATTAGAGTTATGTAATCGGTACACAAATATATTTGATGCGGTGTCAGTGCGGAAGGAGTTTGAATTACGTCCGCCAGTTGTCACAGAAATCCTCAAAGTATAGAAACAATAAACAAGGTCAATCCGTACTAATTACCTAGTGACGCACGTAACAACGACTGTCAATAGGGAAAATGGTGAAAACAAATTGAAATAGATTTTAATAAAACATTATTGTACTACATAACTCGCAAAAGCGGTGCCTAAAATTGTTTGACCGTGTTATGTGTGTTGTAAACTGACGAATAGCAAGTAATTGTCATGCTGTACGCATGGTTCCATATACAAATTCAGTTATACAACCGGTATGAAACTGAGAACTGAGATACCAAGTACAACCTGCATTCACACACGGAAGCAATATACTTGTGTGTATGCCCTCTCCTCTAAAAAATGTATCACTAAAGTATTTGCATTGTAATAAATATAGTAATGATAAAACTTGGTAATTTGGTAGGTCTCCGACAGATATGATTTTCAGTTTTTTTTACACCTTTGATTGATACGGATTACGTACCTGTAGTCTAGTCACTGTCTCTAATGTATCTGCTTGTTAGAAATTTCAAATGTCTTGTTATAGCACTGTTCCTAAAATACGGCAGTTTCTTTTATCGGGTATAAATAGTTGATTCGTCTTGTCACGCAGTCATTTTTTACTTGATCGAATGATTTCCACAAAAAATTACGGCAGAGAGTTTTGTATTTTATTATATTTTTAGAAGATTTTAGAAGATGCTTACATCACTGTATCTCAGAACGTAAAACTGATAACATTCAAACATGTAATTAGTACACAGTTAATTGTTACATATAATTTCCTGCATATTCCTTTTTGAACAAAAAGCCTACATGTATACTGATATCGGTGTCCACTGTTAAAAGGGTATTAGTGCAGTCAGCCATGGTAAATGGAGAGACAATAATAAGGTGATTAATTATAGTCTGTTGCAGAATATGCGGTATAAGTGTAGTCATTGATACATATACACATTACACATATACAGATGAAATACACGATATAATGCAGTGCAAGAACAAATTAAGATACGGTTTCAATCAAAAATAATTATACGATTTTGGATTTAATTAGCATGTTGAAATTTTCAGGCCAACACGGCTGAGATACAGCATCGGCATACTCAACTGGAGTTGTTTTCTGCCGGTCGTAAGTTCATTGTTTGACTGTAGCTCTTCATCCCTTATAACAACGGTAACAACAACCAGGGTGAGGACACAGTAAGTTAAACCGTGTCCAACAGACAATCTGAGGTGGCTATCTCCCATCAAGTCAGCTCTGTTTTTAAGCGCATAGTTATGTTTTTACATATTGAAATAAAATGAATTTAAAAAATTATATTTAACAAACCTACACATTACCAAATACAAAACTTTATAACCCTCTCTAGACTTCGTTCCAATTAACCTGGATCATTCAACTCGCTCGCGAAGGTCGTATGCGACTTTAAAGTGAATACGTCTACAGTGTACAAGTAACTTTTAACTGTATCATATATACTCATGATAAGCAATTATTTTCGTTCCTAATTCGAATGAGCACATTCTGAGGCTAAATCTGCAAAAGGACAGATAAAATATTTCTTTGTACAATGCAAACGATACAAACGTAGCGGCTGATAATAGAGACAATGATTTAATAATCTGCAATATATCAAGTGTTCTCGTTCAATCTATTGTACATATTGAAGTGATTGTAAAGTTTCAAGGAGTACTAAAATGTTGTGGTATTATGAATGTATTTAGAATATGAATAGCGAAAAACAGTCACCATATCGGATGTACATATATAACTTGTCTTCCAACACCACGCTTGTGCCGAGGCCCATGGTCATAAAACTAATCGGTCCCATAAAAGGAGCAAATAGTTTCGCAGATACTTCTTGCTATGGTTCACTCACAATTGTCAGACGACCTAATCATCAGTCAGACCAGTCAAGTGTGACCAGCGTACCTGCCTGGTTTTGGCTCCTAATTACTGAACTGCCCAATACTTTCATACTGTGGGCAAAGTAAGCGGCCTCGTTGAGTGATACAGACTAACCAGATTATGATTGTGTTTGTAAGTTGCGTTTAATCTGTGTCGGGTTGCAGTTGTTTTATAAGTCAAGACTAGGGGTAGTTTTTTCAATGAAACCTTTTAGCCGTTGAGTTTGTTTTGCATTCATTTCATTAAATACATTGTTAGGTAGAATAATAACACGTTATATGGATAAAACATCTCCCTAATCTGAGTATAATCTCACATGTACTCTAAGTACCGTACTATATTACTTTGCGGAGACACTGAGTATAATTTTTTAGTTGGCATTGTATGCTGTCTGAATGACTTTACACAAATCCCTGCATTCAATAGACCCGTGAAGATCTTCAACAAACCATTCTTGGCGTAAAAGGGCGACAGCGCTTTTCGTAAGAAGCGACTACCGGGATCGGGTGGTCAGGCTCGCTGACTTGGTTGATGCATGTCATCGTATCCCAATTGCGTGGATCGATGCACATGATGTCAATCACTGGATTGTCTGGTCCAGACTCGATTATTTACAGACCGCCGTCATACAGCTGAAATATTGCTAAGTGTGGCGTTATACAACTAACAAACAAACAAAACACAAAAAGAGAAAGTGTATGAGTACTAAAACTTGCAATAGATATGCGTACCCTACGTACACACATGAGTCCCATTCGACAGTCTACAACACACGAATAACTGTCAAACAAGTTTGGGTACCCCTTCTGTTCAGGCAAGTTATTTAGTTCGATAATTTTGCATTAAAATCCTTTTCAATTTGTTTTCATCCTTTTTCCCTATTCCATGCATGTTTATGTTGCTACATCTTATTGCTCATGTTTCCAAGTATTGTAAAACACTTAAATGTTTCTCCTTCTTAATCTAACGTTATAACATTTCCGGTCATTGCCATCATCTAATATACAAGAGATGATACCAAGACATATTTTATTCGGTTTTATGGTCTATGCGGTCTTACAATTGATTTTATTAGTCTTTAAATCTTATGTCTAGTAAATATTTTCACAAACAGGGCTGTTAACTGATATAAGGAATGTAACATCCAGTTGAGGACTGAATACGACGTACGTTAGTCTGGTAACGACATTTCTACAATTAATATTTTGAATAAGCCGTTAATACGCCAGTTGTGACAGGGATGATGGTATGGTAGATGTAGCAGACATATTGACAGCCGTTGTTACGCGAGTCACTAGGTTATTAGTACGGCACTGGCCTTGTTGATTGGTACTATACTTTCTGTGGCCACTGGCGGACGTAATTCAAACTCCTTCCACACTGACATCGCACCAAATATATTTGTGTACCGATTACATAACTCTTACTGACAGGGTAGGGTGGTAGTTCACGCGAAACGGACGACACTGTGTATATTGAGCGGCTCCTTTGATATCGCCTCACAACATACTTTTAATGAATGACCAATTAAACGATGATACACATCAGGATCGCGGAGAAAATACAAGCTTCGTTCGCGTTGAATATATATATCAAGGCACAAATTCATCTTTCATAAACTTTTTGTGTCTTCGTGCTTAATATATCCACATCTCAACGAAAATATGTAGTACATGTATCCACAAAAATATACATGTACAGGCTAGGTATTTGCCCACAGCAACACCTGCATAACTGTTTATTCACGCGTGGTGTGGCAGATTGTAATTGACCGACAACAAGTATTGTAGAATCACCTGTAAATAAGGCCGACACTGTAATTAGACACAACGTACTAATGAGAATATGAGAATTATCATAAGAAGGCTGTTACGTTTTTCTTAACTATTACCATTTTCATACCAAAAGTGACAATGCAGTTAAAAGTTGCTTTAGTGTCACAATATTCACTCACGTTTTCCTCAATCGCATTGAAACATAATTCCTACTGGTCAGTTCCGAGATTTCGTTAGAATGTAAGATATTCAGCCAAACGTTATGCAAAAAAAGACGAATAGTTTCTTTCCATTAAAATTCGCGCACGCGTACCTGTCACGTAATTGCACAGTGGGATGTATCAACGGGTCATAAAATGGGAAATGAATAGAAACTAACTAAAATTTAATGTTGTACACGCACATGAATTCGTATGATAAACTGCCAAAACGTTTTGAGAGATAAGGCCGGGTTCATTAAAGATGTTGGGTGCGGTTAGGACCAAACTTTTTCAGCTCAGAGTGTTAGTGGTCCTGGAACCCATAGTGTCAAACAGGTTCTGCACAATACGTCAATCAGATTCTACTGTTCAACAGCATTGTCACTGAATTTCAGAACTCTGGCATGATATATTAATCAAGGATTTCGAAGGCAAAACCTTTTCACGCCCATGGGCGAAATATTTCAATAAATCTGTAAAATAGCTGAATTGAGTAAAATTGAGTTACATTATGTGCCATGAAAATAGTAAGAACACCTGCATGTATTTGCGAAACAAAAACATAAGTTTAAAGTAAAGGAAAATATTCTCGCCCATGGGCCAAACCCTTTTCTCGCCCATGGGCGAAATATTTCAATATCGCTATAAAATCGTTGAATTAAGTTAAAATGAGTTAAATTTTGTGTCATGATACTTAAATAAATACATTTAATGTATTCGCGAAACAAAATCATGAGTTTTAAGTAAAGGAACATATTCTCGCCCATGGGCCAAACCTTTTTCTCGCCCATGGGCGAAATATTTCAATATCGCTATAAAATCGTTGAATTAAGTTAAAATGAGTTAAATTTTGTGTCATGATACTTCAATAAATACATTTAATGTATTTGCGAAACAAAATCATGAGTTTTAAGTAAAGGAACATATTCTCGCCCATGGGCCAAACCTTTTTCTCGCCCATGGGCGAGATATTTCAATATCGCTATAAAATCGTTGAATTAAGTTAAAAAGAGTTAAATTTTGTGTCATGATACTTAAATGAATACATTAAATGTATTTGCGAAACAAAAACATGAGTTTTAAGTAAAGGAACATATTCTCGGCCATGGGCCTGCCCATTGGCCTACCCATGGGCCAGACTTCGCCCATGGGCAGGCCCATGGGCGACATAGTCTAAATATTGAGTTTTTAAACAATTTTTTTTTCATTTTTTCTTCCTTGGTATGTTCCCATGAAAACGGCATGTTTAATTTTGTAAATACCTTTAACCGAGACTGGGCAAAGAGCGTAGAGTTTCTGGACTTTTGGGTTTCCAGAATTAAAATGGGACGTGTTATTTGTGTTTCAGCTCTTCGCGTGAGGAAGGTGCACCTGCTGCATTGTAACAATAGAACACTTATTATGTATGTGTGTTTCAGCTCTTCACGTCAGGAAGGTGCACCTGCTGCATTGTAACAATAGAACACTTATTATGTATTTGTGTTTCAGCTCTTCGCGGGAGGAAGGTGTAGCTGCTGCAAAATAACAGTAGAAGACGTATTATGTATTTGTGTTTCAGCTCTTCGCGTGAGGAAGGTGCACCTGCTGCATTGTAACAATAGAACACTTATTATGTATTTGTGTTTCAGTTCTTCGCGTGAGGAAGGTGCACCTGCTACATTGTAACAATAGAACACTTATTATGTATGTGTGTTTCAGCTCTTCCCGTGGCAGGTGCACCTGCTGCATTGTAACAATAGAACACTTATTATGTATTTGTGTTTCAGCTCTTCGCGTGAGGAAGGTGCACCTGCTGCATTGTAACAATAGAACACTTATTATGTATGTGTGTTTCAGCTCTTCCCGTGGAAGGTGCACCTGCTGCATTGTAACAATAGAACACTTATTATGTATTTGTGTTTCAGCTCTTCGCGTGAGGAAGGTGCACCTGCTGCATTGTAACAATAGAACACTTATTATGTATTTGTCTTCCAGCTCTTCGCGTGAGGAAGGTGTAGCTGCTGCATTGTAACAATAGAACACTTATTATGTATTTGTGTTCCAGCTCTTTGCGTGAGGAACGTGCACCTGCTGCACAATAACAACAGAACACTTATTATGTATTTGTGTTTCAGCTCTTCGCGTCAGGAAGGTGTACCTGCTGTATACGGACGACCACCGGGACCACTGCAACGTCGTCAGCAAGCTGGCCATCTACCTGAGAGACCTCTGCGACTGTGAGGTCTTCTTTGTGCCCTGGTTCCGAGGAACAATCAAGACGATGGGCGTCTACCAATGGATCCTCAGCCACATTGACCAAGCAGACTATGTTCTTGTCATCAGTTCAGAGGCTGCGTTCATGCTCTTTGATGCTCGAAACACGAACACATCTTTCAGGACAGAGGATGTAGGTCCAGAAGGGGACACCTTCTCCCCAGCTGTTACCCACATCATGGCAAGGTCTTCACAACCAGACTTCCACAAGAAAACCATCCTAGCGCATTTTGCTTATACAGATGAGGAGTATATCATAAAGGATGTCAGCCCCGGGGTCCATTACCAATTACCAAAATACTTTAAGGAAATGCTGTGTCACATCCATGAGGTGGAACTTCTTGACAAGACCCCAAAACAGGCGAAAATTAACGCCATGGGGAACCTACAAGCCTCTCAATGTGGCCGGACTTTATTAGATGCCATAACAAAAGCCAAACACTTCCAGAAAGCTTGTCCACAATGGTTTGCTGAAAGGTTTCAGCGACAAGACTCAGCATACAGCTCCCAGTACGACCATGTGGGAGATTCAGTGTCATGTACAGGTATGTGCATGGTGGGTACAAATCGTGTGGATGCTAACCATAATAATTATGATGAGGATGATGATGATGAATTGAGAAGTGCAGTGACCTATAACACTACTTACGCAAGAACTCACGACATGTTCCCACCTAGTGAGGTTCCAACGGATACACCGACTGAGTTCATCAACATGCAGCTGCAGAACATAAATATGCAGAACATGGACATGCAGAACATGGAAATGCAGAACATGGGCATGCAGAACATAAATATGCAGAACATGGACATGCAGAACATGGAAATGCAGAACATGGACATGCAGAACATGGAAATGCAGAACATGGGCATGCAGAACATAAATGTGCAGAACATGGGCATGCAGAACTTAAATATGCAGAACATGGACATGCAGAACATGGAAATGCAGAACATAAATATGCAGAACATGGACTTGCAGAACGTTCACACGCCCGACGATGGCGTGAAAATAAACAATGTGGTTCTCACTCACCGTCACTCTCCTCACGAAGATGTCTTCATTCCTCCTAGTGACCTACAGCCAGACATGGATGTGGGTGGACGCTTCCTTGCCATCAATGTGGGCTGCTCTTCTGGAGCTGGTAAACAAGAGTGTGTGTATACAGAGCCTGGGAGGTTACCTTGATCCGGTGATCATGTCAGTGGCATCGATATTTAGGATGTGACACTTTTACACTGAACTCTCGTGCATTTCAACTTTGAACATTTGTACATCAGTTACGCTGATGAAAGCTAATAGTTACTGCCGCTCCCCATTATCTGACACTGACTGGCACGTGTGTACATAATGTAAATCTCTTCCTGACTTTGCATTGTAAAACTTTACACACGTACGCACATACGCACGCACACACACACAGACACACACACACGGAAGCGCCGACTAAAAAAGTCCTTGCAAACCGGCCGTTCGCCTACCACAACCTTTCAGTGGGAGTTCTTCAGCTATTTATGTTATCAAACGTTCTTGTTTTAAAACTTATTCTCAATGTTTTTATCACAAGTTCATTAACATAAGGACCACCTCCGTGGTCTAGTGGTAGAGCGTCCGCCCGGAGAGCGGAACGTCCGTGGTTCGATCCTCGTCCGCGTCATACCAAAAGACGTGAAAAGATGGTACTTGTTGTTACCCTGTCTTGCGCTCGGCATTCAGGGGCTAAAACAAGGACCGGTCGGCTCGGAGTCTACTCTGGCTGAGTGGGGTATTTATGTTAAACTGTATCTCAGTGAGCTAGCACTATAAAATGGCATCAGTCCGGACTAACACACACACACACACACACACACACACACACACACACACACACACACACAGACACACAGACAGACACAGACAGACAGACAGACACACACACACACACACACACACACACACACACACACACACACACACACACACACACACACACACACACACACACACACACACACACACACACACACACACACACACACTGTTATCTTGATGAAGTAACCTAATGTCTTAAGGTGACAAAATAGCCTCTCACTCCAAATCAGAACCTTTCCCTTGTCACTTTTCTCTTTCAAGTTTAAAGCTTCGAGGATTGGAGGACATATTTCCTTTCCGATTCTTCTCAATCCTCACTGCAACTCAGTCCCCTTGGTTATCTCGGTCTGCTTTTAGAGAACCCATATTGAATTTACGAGTTTCACTAGTTCACATCACTATCACAGTACATAATAAAATCTGAGTCCAGTTTGTGTCCCTTATATAAATGTTGCACGAAAACTAATTGTATCCCTAATTTCTATTTAAATAAAATTTTTTTTCTCAAAATCAGTCATGTTGTACGAACGAAATGCGGAAGGATCAGCTGATATGCGGTTTACAGTGAACCTGCAATATTACTACTCTACTGCTTCCCGAAGTGTTAAGCAGGTAACGGAACTTGCCGAGTTGACCCGAATGCAGCTTCGTGTGGGGATTCCGAAGCAGAAAGGTCCCCAGTATCCAGTGTGTACCCAGATATAAGCGGACAATCGACCCTGCTTTATGCAGAGATTTTTATCGGATAGTGAAAGGGTTTTGTCCCTTTATCTATTTCCATAATGAGGAGTGGGTGGGTACAATGGATGACCTCAGTGGGAATTCGGGTTAGATTCGGTCCCCAGCTCCCTATGCTGGTCAGATTCGATGGCATCGTTACCCAACAGTGTGGTTAGTTGCTCACAATATTAATCACTGGATTATCTAGTCCAGAGTCGATTATCTCCAGCCCGCAGTTATATAGCTACTGTATTGCTGAGGGCGGCGTTTAACAAAAACCAAACGCTGTGCCCTAACGGCGTAGATCGTTGCCCACAATGTCATGCCCATGATTGTCTTGTTCAGACTTGATTATTCACAATGTCAATCACTGATTGTCTTGTTCAGACTTGATTATTCACAATGTCAATCACTGATTGTCTGGTTCAGACTTGATTATTTACAATGTCAATCACTGATTGTCTGGTTCAGACTTGATTATTCACAATGTCAATCACTGATTGTCTGGTTCAGACTTGATTATTCACATTGTCAATCACTGATTGTCTGGTTCAGACTTGATTATTTACAATGTCAATCACTGATTGTCTGGTTCAGACTTGATTATTCACATTGTCAATCACTGATTGTCTGGTTCAGACTTGATTATTCACATTGTCAATCACTGATTGTCTGGTTCAGACTTGATTATTTACAATGTCAATCACTGATTGTCTGGTTCAGACTTGATTATTCACAATGTCAATCACTGATTGTCTGGTTCAGACTTGATTATTCACATTGTCAATCACTGATTGTCTGGTTCAGACTTGATTATTTACAATGTCAATCACTGATTGTCTGGTTCAGACTTGATTATTCACATTGTCAATCACTGATTGTCTGGTTCAGACTTGATTATTTACAATGTCAATCACTGATTGTCTGGTTCAGACTTGATTATTTACATTGTCAATCACTGATTGTCTGGTTCAGACTTGATTATTTACAATGTCAATCACTGATTGTCTGGTTCAGACTTGATTATTCACAATGTCAGTCACTGATTGTCTGGTTCAGACTTGATTATTCACAATGTCAATCACTGATTGTCTGGTTCAGACTTGATTATTTACAATGTCAATCACTGATTGTCTGGTTCAGACTTGATTATTTACATTGTCAATCACTGATTGTCTGGTTCAGACTTGATTATTCACAATGTCAATCACTGATTGTCTGGTTCAGACTTGATTATTTACAATGTCAATCACTGATTGTCTGGTTCAGACTTGATTATTCACAATGTCAATCACTGATTGTCTGGTTCAGACTTGATTATTTACATTGTCAATCACCGATTGTCTGATTCAGACTTGATTATTCACAATATCAATCACTGATTGTCTGGTTCAGACTTGATTATTCACAATGTCAATCACTGACTGTCTGGTTCAGACTTGATTATTTACAATGTCAATCACTGACTGTCTGGTTCAGACTTGATTATGTTCATTGTCAATCACTGATTGTCTGATTCAGACTTGATTATTTACAATGTCAATCACTGACTGTCTGGTTCAGACTTGATTATTTACAGTCAGTCAGTCAGTGAATATGGTTTTACGCCGCTTTAAAATTAAAAGATTTCCAGCAACATCACGGCGGGGGACACCAGAAATGGGCTTCACACATTGTACCCATGTCGGGAATCGAACCCGGGTCTTCGGCGTGACGAGCGAACGCTTTAACCACTAGGCTACCCGACCGCCCCTGATTATTTACAAGGAATATTGCTGAGTAAAGCCATAAACAGCAGGCAAGCAAAACACAAACTGATATCAACAGAGTAATAATACGTTGTCACTGGTTGCGAGTCCATCAGCAAAAACTCCAAAGCATGTGCTGGATATCGGGGCGGTCGGGTAGCCAAGTGGTTAAAGCGTTCGCTATTCACGCCGAAGACCCGGGTTCGATTCCCGACATGGATACAATGTGTGAACCCATTTCTGGTGTCCCCCGCCTTGAAATTGCTGGAATATTGCAAAAAGCGGTCTAAAACCATACTCACTCACTCATTCACTCACTCACTTAATATAATTTAAAGGGATTAGTCTGGCATATGATTGATTGAATTTGAAGGTCAAGGTCACAACTTATGAACTGCTTATAACCTTTTATAATAGGATAATCAACAAACTTGGGACACCTGAGCCCCCAAAACAAAACAGACAGTTGAATAAGCTTAAATTAGAAAGGAAAGGTAATTATGATGGAATTCAATATCGAAGCGTATTAAGTGAACAACCAACGAGGTACAGGGAATTATGGATTATCTGTTCCAAACATTCATTCACGCGGGACAATTAATACTAAATCAAGGGGCGGTCCATCTTCCCGAGGCGTGAGAGTTAACTGACTTTAAAAGTCCAGTTTCCACCCTTGCCGAACTAGGCTGGAATTCCCGGGCTCGATCATAGCGCCACCAGTGGTTATTACGGTTTATGTCCCTTCTAAGCCTCTTCTATGGACCAATCCAATTCCATCACTTGCGTTTGTTTCAAACAAAATGGCGGCGCCCAGTCAAGACGATCTGATCGATCATCAAGATCTATATTGTGATAAAATGGGTCGCGAAGTACATCAAATCACGCGAGCACCTTGATTAAAAACATGAAAAGGTTTGGAAAATATCTGTTGACAATGAGCTGGCGGTACACATGCTTTGCAAATCCTACAATCGACCGAAATCTGCACGACAGTTTACGAACCGGATTTCGATTTCGTTGCGCGATTTTGATTGGACTCTGTTGTATTAAACGGTATCAAAAACATGTTGTATTTGTGGCAATCTGTTATGGTTAATTTGTGGTTTGGTTTGGTTTGTTGTTTTACGCCGCACTGAGTAATATTCCAGCTATATGACGGCGGTCTGTAAATACTCGAGTCTGGACAAGACAATCCAGTGATTGACATTATGAGCATCTATCCACGCAATTGGGATACGATTACATGCATCAACCAAGTCAGCGAGCCTGACCACCCGATCCCGTTAGTCGCCTTTTACGACAAGCATAGTCGCCTTTTACGGCAAGTATGGGTTGCTGAAGACCTATTCTACCCCGGGTCTTCAATGGTCGGTTAATTGGTGGTTTGGTTGTAATGTAAATTCTTTTGACATGCAGGTCCATTTTTGTATAAATTGTATTAATTGTGTGATATTTCAACTCCTAATTAAAATATGCTGTTGTTTTGCCTAGTGACACTTATTCTGGTTTGTTCACACTAAAACCGGTTCGGCTCATTCTGGAGTAGTTAAACCTTTTCATCAGGTGATTATTTGTTATCCATTCTGATGTGCTAATTAGGTTTAGACTTTGTGCACATTGTCCTAACCATGTGCCACTTTGACCTGCACATCACAGGATGAAAGGCTAGTTCCAACTTGCTTAACATTTTAGATATTTAAATAGCAGAAACTAGTATTGACTAATGTAAAGGATAAAGGTATGACAGCTTTGTAAATTGTTTTATATAATTCTATAGTTAAACATAATATACTGAACAACAAAAGTTCCCGTGACATTGAATAAGATTTCAAAGTTATGTCTTTTACCAAATCTGAAACAATTTCGGTTTGCAACACACAAAAGACTCTTCTATGTGTTCAAATGGTTTAATTTGCCATACAGACTTCAGAAAATGCGTAATTTCATAAAAAAACACATGAACATGCCAAAACAGCAATTTACAAATCAATAGCGTGTGTGTCCACCTCTTGCTGCGATACAAGCAACACATCTTCGTCTCATGGAATGGACCAGACATCGCACAAAGTCCTGTGGGATATCTGTCCATATCTGCTGGAGCATGTTTCGAAGTTCCTGGAACACGTGGTTGATGTCGAAGGTGCCGATCCATCTCATCCCACATGTGCTCGATTGGTGAGAGATCAGGGGAGCGAGCCGGCCAGGGGGTGACATTCACCTTGTTTTGTTGAAGAGAATCCTGAACAAGTCGAGCAATATGAGGCCGGGCGTTGTCATGTTGAAAGGTAATACCTGGGCCATGATGACGCGAAAACGGTAGAACAACAGGCCCGATGATCTCGTCGCGGTAGCGCCGTCCATTGAGATTTCCCTCTACCACTATCAA